GAACTCATGAGTAGACAGTTTCGGACGGATTCATTAAATACCACTTCTATGACGCTCACAAACTTGGGGAGTAAAGAGATATGTCCGAAACTGGAGTCGTTCACTTCGTGACTTTCCATGTATGAGCACACTTGACTCTTTTGCTCGTCATGGGATACTGCAAGTCCGGGTGCCAAAGTAGAATTACAAATATCGATAGACACCTGCAAGTGGTGGGATATGGTGATAAGGCTCAAGAGGAGGTTGTACCAACCGAAATTCCAATATTTGGTCCGAATGAAGAAGGCCGACGAATTAAGGCATGATAATTAGAATAATTCTAATTAATGTGCTAACTAAGAATTCCCGAATTAGTGCTATTTATGTTAGATAGAACTAGATGAACACTACTGGATGTAATAGATTTGAAATTCGTAATGAGCGCGTAATCAGGCACAAAGAAATTATTAGTGAGTATAAATACAACAACCGTCACAACTGAAATGGAAATCCAGATTTCTGCTATCAGTCGTACGTCTTTTCCTTAGGTCCATCATGCGTCTGTTCTCCTATGTATTCGGTATAGTCTTTGCATGATCTAGAATGTACTTATTGGTGCTAAAATTAACAACGGATATTAGAACGGACTCATCTTGGTCCTTGTAACGTATTCAGTTGTTGTGACTGGCTTGCATATGAACCATAGATTAATTGGCCTGTTTTAGAGGACCTTTCGTAGACTATGGAAAAGTTCTTGTATGAGGTTATTTTGTTTATGCAATTTCATGATTGTTTCTTTTGCGTATGGTCCAGTAATTCTGCACTAAAGGACTTTGTCTACTCTCCTCGCCGTACCCTTGGATTTCGCATAAGTAGTAGAACGGACATTTGTTTTCAAGGTCTTGACACTTCTTGCTTGCGAATGAGAATGAGAGAACTTTGGGGTCACGCGTTGTTCTAACCTCGATTCCGTAGTTAGCAAGTTGTTAAGCACTTCATTAGGACCGTCATCAGTGATCAATGAGGAAGGCTGTCTCCGAAGCATTCCTAGGTTTTCTAGACCCAGTATGGATGGCCCAAAGTCGGTAATGATGAATTCGTCTATGATTTGACTGCTTGTTAATTGTATTTGTACTCGTATGCCATTTGCCACGTTTTTCTTCTTGTCACTCTGTATTTTACTTAAGGTTTTCTGTTTAGATCAGGTTTTCGTATTCATTGAGGTCTCAGGACCACGTATGGTAAATACGGCTGTAGTGGCCAAAAAACTGAGACGGTCAAAAGTTGGGAGACTGATGTGTATGAATTCTACCCCGCTTAAAAGCTGGAATGGTGATAGGTCCCTGAAAAATTTCAAGCAATCTACGAGGTCTCCTTCTATTTGATATATTTAAAATGACCGTAAAACTGTATTTTATTCTAAACCTACTTATGGGTACTGCCGTCTGAACATAAATAACTCTACATTAATTAATAGGAAAGCTAATAATGGTGAAAGTCAGTGTGAGTTTGGCAACAATGTGGTTTAGATTTTACCTTCGCGTCCTAAAAGTAAAAACTTATGGACTGTGTTGACATAATTCTTTATATGTCGCCGCAAAAGTAGGTGAGAAGTTCCTGTACCCGTTGTAGTGGTAGGCCCATACGTGATAAGCACTTTGCTAAAACTCGTCGATATCAACAGAGACACGTGTGGGAGCATGACCGCTCCCTGTCGATTTGTTTTAAAATCTTGGAGTTATTCTTAAACTGATACTTTGCCAGAAGGTTACTACAGTCCATGTTGTGAATAGCATCAAGTTGAGTAACAGAAATCTAGATCTGAATACTATATGATTTATGAAATTTTGGCATTTAAATCCATGTCGATATGTGCTTTCGAATGTCTACGTCTTTGACGTTTTTTTCTGAATTTTATCGTTGCTTGGATCTGCATGTTTACCGGCAATGTTCTGATTATTCGCGAGTGACTCCATGTGTTATAATACGGGAAAAATATGATAATAGATCTACTCATCTCCCGTCTGTGTTTTGTCAATATCTAGCAATGAAAATAAGCGATAGCACCTGCTATGTCTATCATGACTTTAGTTTGTCAAGACAACTTTTGACGAATTTTTTAGAGCACGGCTTGTTAAACAATAGTGTTACAACAAAGTTGGTCAGGTATACTGGGTAGATACAGACATTGTTTTCATCCTTTTCTGAATATCACCTCAGATGCTAAGTTTTTATTTCTTCTACGAATTCCTTATTTTTTCTGCAATTTGAGCTGAGAATTCAGAGAATTTTTTCAACTTACCCATGTCAAGTAACTATGAGATTGCAACTGCCTACTCCGTTGGAATAAGGTAGCAGAATATTTTTACAGCTGCTGTGGTGCACGCATTCCTAATAATTACTAATAATTCAATCACTGGTATTATATCTGACTCAACAGATTGCCTGATATACTTGGTACCAATTAAACTAAATTTAAACTATTGTAGGATTATCTTGGATGAAAAATGGATGTCATAGGGAGAATTAATTTCTTGAGATTTTGACAAACCGCTAGTAAGCGGTTAGATAAATGACCTCGCTTACAGCGAGAAGTGTCCTCTTCTGAATATATCTCGAAGTCATCCATAGGTGTATTGACTTTGAAATGTCACATCTAAGTACCCATGAAGTCTATCTGTGACTTTTATCATGAATGAAGATTAATTTACTGTTAAAAATGATGATAATACACTGGTTTTTCGCTTTATTTCAAGGACAAATACATCGAAATACACAATAACGTGTCTTATTTCCTTTTGGTCTCTACCAATAAGTGTTCTCAGAAAGGCTTGTATTTTGGATCGGCCATAGCCGTAATTATGATAGTAAGTTTTCAGAATCCAGTGTTGCTAAATTGAAGTTATGAACCCTACTCTCAAAGGAACCTTCGTGATCCTGAATGGACCCTCGTTTAGCGATTTCATTCCCACTTTAGTGTGCCAAATCACTGTTTGGTTGAAGATGCCGGGTATTCGGAATTCGACAACGCTTTAACCAGTAACACCTTCTAATATGAAGCGCACCCACCAAGTAAAATCAAAAGACAGAAGCGAGGAGATCGAAGATATATTTGATAAGCTATCAATATATCGAGGATCGTATGCAATAATCTGGCTAGCGATTGCGGCAGATGTTGAGCACGGCGTTCCCACACGTGATCTGGTGTGGATGCTTGACCGAGCGCCTTCAGCTAGATGAGTCCACTAAAACTGTGGTCAGCATCCAATGTCGAAAACTTACAGAGCTATTTAATCTTGGGGAATTATTTACCGTTACATGGTCATTTTATAAACACGTTTAATTGCCAACTGATATTAGGCTTGTTTGTTAAGCAAGGGGTAATTTTGGAATTATTAGTAAATTGAAAAGCAAAGAGCATTTTCGTTGCGAACAGTTTGACTGGAGGGATCATGATAACTCTTATACAACAGCTGATTGTATGGTTACGGGATTTCCTCAAAACCGCCTACTTGATAGTCTCTTACCTTAATGGTTCGATTTATATTAAGTGATTGAAAAATCTGGAATTATGGAAAGGTCGTCAAAATGAATAATGTAACAGATGATGATAAAAGCGACGGAACCTAGTTTTCACTTCGTTTGCCAGCTGTCAAGCAATAACGAACGGAGGCGTCGGTTAAATTTCCTAATCGGTGAAGCTGAGATGCTGATTAGCTTACAATCATAGAATCTACTATTTCGGGCTACGAAGCTTTTTAAATACCGGATACCGTCATCAGATTGAAATTAAGCTAGCTGGTTTCACCATTTATTTCTGGGGGTTTTTCACTTCTATTCCTATGCAATCACAAATTAGTAGTTACCGTCAATTATTAATCCAAACCGTTTAAAACTCTCTGCTTTGTTGATAGTTCATACAAGGCTCCTTGAGCTGACAGATGTAGGACACACAGAGTACTCTACAAAACTGAAATACTTAGGTATTTTCGTATCCATACACAAAATCAGATAATAGAGTAACAAAAGTTCATCATTATCTTTGATTGGACGATACAAATGTATGACCGGTGTCCTTCTACAACTACCAAGTAGAATGCTAGGTGTCGAAAATATACTTGTTTCATCCACTAACATAATATCAAGAACTAAATGTGAAAACTTAAAACAAACGTTCTCGAGGTCCTCTGACATCTTTTTGATCCTTAAATACTTTGAGTGAGAAACGACAAAAGTTTCATCACTAATATGTAATTAGGCGCCTACCACTTTAAACTTTTATCTTGAAGAGCCATATTTCTTTTAATGGGCAACACAGACAGCTTAAAAGTCTAATCTGGTAGATAACCATAAATTAGATAATGTTTTAGTTGATCTGATCATAAGACTCTGGCGCAGCTATTACATCAGTGACTACCCTGTTCACGATATATCATATCACTTGAGGAAAAAATACACAATACAAAATGACGAACCACACTAACTACATCAGGTAGTAGCTGCCATTTCGCTGAGTCTTTAATCTATTAGAAAGACTGATGTTTATGTGGATTGACACGGAACACAGACTGCTGTCAGGTTAACTTTCTCCTGCGGGCCCTAGATTTAAACTATCAGTGTAAGCTAAACACTCCCAGTACCATATAGTTCTTTCTCATGAACTGTATGGGCAATAATGAAATGATAGAACGTCATTTTCTAGACAAATCACAATCGATAGCCAATACTCTAGGAATAGATTAGGATAAATTAACCTAGCGAGTACACTGAATTAGTTGGATTTTCCTTTGAGCAACATCCTCATTATACGTATAATAGGAACTAAACATACATCTACATCACAAATACTGATATTGTTGCAAAATTCATAACAGGTCGGTGGGAAGAATAGGATACAATCATTAACCCCGAAGTTGAAAATCTTAGTCTCGAAACCATTTTACAGTGGATTTAGGCTACGCTAAGTCCTTCAGTACGATGTCAGATTGCATATATGGTGGCAAGGAACATTTCCCATATTCATTTATTTATTTGAACACATAAATATTGGTACAGGGGGGCACCAAATATATATGCGCCACACAAAACAATGATAATTTGAAGAGAAGGAGAAAAGAGAAAAAAAAGTAATGAACGTGGGGAATTATAAATAAATATAAAAAAAGAGAGAGAGAACAATGATGGGGAAAACGGAAAGGTACAATCATAAGAAATCTTTCAGTTAAGGGAGATACAACCACTTTTTATGAAGAAAGTAAAAGAAGGTTACAGCAGGATCGCCATTGGCTTCTATTCTGAGCTATATCTGATAACGTCTCTAGCCACTGCGTTACACCATCTCTCGGACCCCAACCAGGGAGTCGTGAAGGACCAACAGAAGCTAGCCCTTTGCAGCTTTCTTTCATACCACGACACCATGTCATATACTGACCACCTCTCCGCTTTTTCCAACCAGTCCCAGAGTCGGCAAATAATGCACGACGTGGAATTCTCTGGGACGACATTCGTAAAACATGTCCAAGCCACCGAAGTCGGTGTTTCAAGATAGTGACACCAATTTCATTATCGTCTCTGTGATCGAACACACGATGCCGGACCTCTGCATTACTGACATAGTGTTGCCACTGGATGCCAGCAATCCTTCGGAGACAACGATGATCAAACACAGAGAGTCGTCTAACATCCTCAACTCGGAGAGGCCAGGTTTCACAAGCATAGAGCAAAACTGCTCTCACCGTCGCGTTGTAGATCCGACCTTTTACAGCCAGACTAACATCACGAAGGCGCCAAAGGTGGCCCAGATTGGCATAAGGCGCTCTGGCTTTCACCATACGTGCATTGATCTCATCACTCACGCCACCACCAGCACTTATGCAGCTACCCAGATACACGAACTTCTCGACCACTTCTATCTGCTCACCATCCAGAGTGAGTACAGGATTAGAATCCTGCCTATCTTGTAGGAGTACTTTGCACTTTGAAGGTGCGAAGCACATACCATACCTACGGACATTGATTGCCAACTGATTAAGTGCGGATTGCATGGCTTGAACATTCTCGCACAGTAAGACAATATCATCCAATACTCAAGGTCGAGAAGTCTTTTTCCAGGCAACAGATCCACACCCCCATTACTTACATCCATCAGAGCTGTTTCCAGAATGTCATCGATGGCAAAGTTGAAGAGGAATGGTGAGATTGGGCAACCCTGCCTAACTCCACTGCTTGAATGGAATAGTGGAGAAAGGTGGTTGTATGCCCTCACTCTGCCTGAGGTGTTTGTGTATAGGGCTTTAAGGATGTTAATAAACTTCTCAGGCACACCCTTCTTCAATAGACAATCCCAGAGAACAGACCTATCCAACGAATCGAAGGCAGCCCTGATATCAAGAAACACTACGATTGTTGGCCTTTGATAAGTATGACGGTGTTCTAACACTTGGCGGAGGGTGAAGATATGATCAATACATCCTCGACCAGAACGAAACCCAGCCTGCTCCTCGCGAGTCAATCCTTCTCGGGTTCTGAACAACCTACGAAGTATGACGGAAGCCAATAGCTTGGACGCAATCGGAAGTAGACTTATCCCCCGATAGTTGTTACAGGAACAACGTGAACCCTTTTTAAAGATAGGGACAACTATCGACTCATTCCATGACGTTGGTACACACTCTAGTTCCCAGATATTTGTAAACAACGTCGTCAGTCCCTTAATCAGAAAGTTACCACCATCTTTAAAAAGAGCCGGAGGTAAGTCGTCTGGGCCCGGTGATTTGTAACGTTTCAAGAGTTGGAGTTCCTTGCGGACTTCCGCCTCATTTGGTGGGCTGCAGTCTGTCGGGGCATAGGCGGAGATGACGAAAAGACATCGTTTCTCACGCCGATTTCTTCTCACTTTGATGGAACTTTCTAATCTAACAGCACATAACCGACTGTTAATGGGGATCCAGTCGACTAGTGCTGCCTCAGATCTTGCGCTTAGTACGACACCAACGCCAGCAAGGCCAGACGAAGATGCCACAGGGTCCCCGGATAAACGCACATAAAACAAGCTTTTTGAAGCGACAGATGGAGAGCGAACTTGTAGTACTTCACCAGAGTCTTGAATACGGGTCTCGGATAGACAACACACATCAATATTAAGACTTTCCAAAGACATAGCCAGCCCTATCTGTTGTCCGACCTGCATAAGTGTGCGAACGTTGAAGGCAGCCAGTTTGAATGGTGCACGTGGTTTCAGAAAAACTGCTTCAGTACTCGTATTCGGTGGCAACATACAATTTTCAACCAGGCAGTGACTCCAGAACGTTTAGATAAAGCTGAATTTTTACCATAGGCGAGCTGCTCTCTGAGTCGAAACGGATACAAAAAGTAGAAATAGGAGATAGTGAATGAATGACGTAGTAAATAAATAAATAATAATAATAGTACCAGTCATTTCAATGTTAGTCGGAGAGAAACGAATATTTTCCATAAGCAGATAGTTCATCATGGTTTTTCCCATATTCACGAATTTGTAACGGCTAGAGTTCAGAGGAAACTATGAAAGACCACAAACGATTTAGGAAAAGTAATCTAGTGACCTCCCTAGTAGATCATATGTTTGAAAAACATTTTACCACATGCGATCAAATGAACTAATTAGTAATCTTAGTCCTCGGACTTATACCTCGCAAATAAAGCTACATTACTTTCTCGTCATCATTTTTATTAGATACAATGTCTGTATCTGCTAATCTTTTTTAAATATCTTTTGGCCAGAAAGATTGCTTTAGAGAACATTCGTGGGAGCCGTTAGGAGAAAGTGACCATTTACTTGAAATTTCCAAGAGTAACAAGCAATAACATTGACGTCAATATTTAAAATATCGCATGGGGGATTGAGTATTTGTTGTACTAAAACAAAATGGAACACATGATAGAAAATTTATTCCCACAATCAGTTTATACAGGTGAAAAAGTGAGGCAAAAAATGATATAAAGAACGATAGGATTAAAAAAAGACAGACAAATGTGCATATATGTTCACTATTTTATAGTCATATGAAAAGGGAGAATAGGGGGGGGGGAATCGTTGATAGAGAAACAATTTAATCAAAATACATATAGAATACGGTTATATATAAATGAGCTTAGAAGCCCCCATCTGGTTGACTGTTCATAAATGCTTCTTGAATTTCTTTCACCATTTTAATTCTATTAAGTATCACTTGCAATTCAGTCGGTCGAACGGGATTGGTTGAAAACCACAAATCAGATTGTGGAGGGTATAGTGGATTCAAGTAGAACACACTATCGGAGTCTAGTAGTTCTGGGGGACTGGAATATAAATGGAATAGAGAATCGCATGCAACAATTATGGTTCTTATTACTAGTAGTATTTGTGGTTAACAAGTAATAGAGCAAAAACATAAATACTAAATAGGATAACTTCTTAGTTGCTTTACACCAAATATTGTATGAGTTATTTTGTCTAACTAAGCAACTAAATAAAACCATGTTTCAAGTCAATAGAAAAAACCGATAACTACGAAGTATACTTAGATGGAGTGTGATTAGAAGTGAAGGAAGTGGTTGTACGCTGTTTGGATAATGTTGATCTTCAGATGAAATTGATATCTATGGCAATCAGGTTATGTTTCTAACTGAAAGAACAATAATTCAAGCCGAGTAATAACATGATCTCATCTTACTTTATTGTTAATACTTTACGAACAATGATAATTATTATATTCTGTTTTAACTACTGCATTTATTATTTTAAAGGATTACACTAAATTTACTTAGGAACTCTATGCTATAATACAGTGAACAGGTGAGTATTAGGATAAAATTGTTAATTTTATATTTTTATAGAAACTTACCAACGGGCAAAGTATGCTTTGTAAAGTTTAACAGGACATCGTTGTGGATGTTGAGGATTTGCATCTAAACTTAATGTTGTGATAGAATCATCTGATTCACCAAACATATTACCAGGTAAATGACAAAGAACACCTGTTTCAGTGATTTGAAATTGTGAGAATGCTAATTGTCGATGAACGGTACCAAGTCGTAAACCAATATGTTTGGTATTGTAATAAAGCATAGTGAATAATAAAATCTAAAACATACATTGAATAAAAGAAAATAACAGAACTAATAATAATCCATAATATTTTTAAAGTGTATTCTTGACGATCCTCTACTTTTTCTGACTATAGAGTAGAATGTAAATCAATGGACTACACTAGCTAGTTATGGAGCAGTGGCTTAATGATTTGAGGCGTCCGACTTTCACGCACTACAGCCCAGGTTTGAATCCTGCTCTATCTACTTCAATTTAGGAGACCAGGTAGTATCTTTAACCCTTACACTGAAAACACGAATCATACATAAATACTTGGTGAATAAATTTCATTCGATTTAATTCTGGAACGATGAGTTGTATAACTAGGATTGTTGTTCTAAACTATTTCATAAGGTTTATGATTGAGATCATGAACTGAATGATGTTGAAAACCTGGAAGCACTGGACGACCGTTTCGTCCTAATGTGGGACTCCTTAGCAGTACTTCCAGGTTTTCAATTGTGGTCTAACATTAATCAGTTCATGATCTCAATAAAAAAACTCAATAATCTCCACAATCCTATACTCGTAAGGTTTAAACGAAACAGTTATAGATTAGTGTGTGAATTTGATAGAGGGTTTAACAATCAAACAGTTTAAACTAGAAATTAATCTGACATTCCCAATTTTTTATTTTATATAGTTCTAACTCTCATTTGTAATTTGTGCATCTATTTTCATCTCACTTAACTTGGTCAAGTATAATGTCTCTTGTTAGTTTGCAGACTTGAACTCAAATGCTTCACAGAAAAATTTGGTTTATCCTAAGGTTACTCAAAATCTTTAACTTCATGTAAATGGAATTAACAGTTTATGTACTTAGCTTCGAGTCACACTGTTTACATGGGTAGATGGGCTAGTGTTATACTATTTGGAGTCCCTAAAACGAAGTGTGGTTTTAATCTTCAATCTATTGGTTGCTATCGTTTAGAAGGAGCATTATTAATGGGGACCAATAAACATGAAATCTACTATTATGATTTTCTACAAATACATTTTATTACTTTATATTACGTAGACGGTAGAAAATTTCCAAATTAATTGACGCCGATTGATGGTTTAGTGTTTACAACTAAAGACATAAACATCTTATGAGCAATTCTTACTGATATTTCAAAGTATATATCATATCAAGAAATAACACATGTAGTTATTTATCAAGAGATTTCCCAAATTTCTTCATGTTGATATTTAATCAATCTTTACAATAAACATTCAAAATGTTTACGTACACATAAATATTGGGATACTAATCTTTTTTTTAAAAAAATTCTTGAATACATTAGAACCTACCTCAGCTGATTGTGAACCTAATTGTTTTGCTTCCCATAAATGTTCTTCTTCTATACGACAGATAAGAAGTCCTTCAGGACTAATACGTGGTTGGAAATTGGCTAATATTTCATTCAAAGCTCTAGATAGACTAGTAAACGCAGGATCTCCAAATAAGTTTACAGTACGACCATTTTCGTTGAGATACTCTTGAATACCTTTTAGAGTAAACGTATACAACCAGGAAAAAACAACGGCCTATTACTACCACTTCAAGTGAGATAAAAGTAGAAATAATAGTTGGTTCATTTCAATCAACCAAAAAAAAGGACTTTTAAACAGCATATTTACGTTTGGCACACTAGTTATGCTTATCAGTATTACTCTCTTTACTTCGAAAGATTGCTGACATCTAGTGACAGCACCATGTTAGTAATGTAAAGGTTCGGCATCGTGTGTTCGGGCGCAATGATGATAAATCAATTGGTATCACCATCATGAAGCATCGAATTCGGTGGCTTAGACGTTCCTTACGAACGTCGTCCCAGAGAATTCCTCGTCGTGCATTAATTGGAAAAAGCGGAGGTGCTTAGTGTATAACATGGTGTCGTGGTATGAAAGCTGTACAGGACTGGCTTCTGTTGGTTCTTCATGACTCCATGGCTGGGATCCTAGAGATGATGTAACACAGTGGCTTGAGAAGTTATCAGACATGGGTCAGAATAAAATCCAGTGGCAGTCCTGCCGTAACTTTCTTCGTAAAAAAATGAACGTGACTTCTTTGATTGAAAGAAATCTTTCTGGTTGTACTTTTGTTAACTGAACTGCCTCTCCCATTATTATTTCACTTTCTTACACTAATTTCTGTTCGTTGTTGTTCTTTTATTATACGCACTTTACATTGTTTATCACTCCACGACCTTATTTTTATTGTGTGGTGAATATGTTTTTTGTGCTCCCTTCAACCAATGTTTATGTGTTCAAATTTATAAATAAAATAAAACAAACTTAAAGATCCATTCTATTGTTACATTACACAGTTCAAAGGGCATTAAGATTATCAAACACCTACAGGATTTTAGAATATTAAAGATTCCCATTGTGAAAATTAGAACAACACATATAAACGAACAATTGTTTTCAATTAGATCGTCATCAGGCTTTACTCTAATATACAGTAATATTTATACAGGATTACTTAATTGCACTTAAACAAAGTTATACGATAAAACCAACATAGTAATAATAATTTAGATTTTTAAAACTCACCTAGACACAAATAGAAAATTGAATCAGCCACATAACATTCATTATTTGGTTTGCGAACTTCACGAACAAACTGACTTAATGCGATATTAAGATCGGCATCACTCATGTTTAATAAATCAGCGTATAAGTGTGAATATTGTTGCATTGCAGCTGCATTAGATCTAGGCTTGTCTGTAGACGAAGAAGTTGATTTTTGCTGCACCCAGTGACGCCATGCATTGATCCCATAAGAGAATTTCAAATGGTAATTAGCATCAGATGTAAGTATGGGTGTAAGAGTTTGACGAGACCGTTTAGTTGGGGGTGGCGGTGGCAGCGATTGATCTATCTCTCTTCCACTACTGGAATGACTCACAACCGATGTCATCGGTTGATGATGGTGAAATGGTGGATTATGTTCAGTGGATTGTTGTGTGGCAGTTGACTCTGAAGTCCACGAGTCTGAAGATGATGACTCTTCTGGAGCAGGACGTTTGAGATTAGATACATTCCGAGATTTGCCAGGAGCATCACTAGGCTATTTTTAAAGACATTGAACAATAAAATAGTATAACTTAATCGACATATAAAGCAAGTAATTAAATCTCTGAAATGTATGATGACTGATGTTAGCAAATTGAAAACATAAGTACTTTGAGCCCCCAAATACCCTGGTACGGCCGAGGGTGGGAATAGTCAACTCTCTCTCTTGAAATGCTCTCACATGATCACACATATACAGCTACTACTAGGGAAGTCCTACTCACTGCCTTCTCGCGGAGGGGATATTGTTTACGTAATTGGGAGAAAGAAAAGCGGGTTGGTGAACACGGAGGGTCCATATAGGGCAGTTGGAAAGCCCTCATTCCAAACCAATGGTGCACATGGACTCCAAGATCCTGAAGGGATAAATGGAGTATAAACAAGTTGTCGATTACCGGCTACCATGAGACTGCATCACCTGACGTTACTCCACGGCCTTCTGGATCAGACCTTTAGGTCGAAGGTTGGGAATGTGACCCTCTAAGAAAACCATCTGCTTCGATGTGGGAAACCGGGCAGTATCACAACACACACACAAATCAAGTGCCTTGTGTGGAGTATATGTATTCGGTGCCATTTGTACCAATATTTATGTGTTAAAATAAATAATTTATTTGCTTTTCAGCAGATCATAAAAATTTTTACAAGAGAGGACAGTTTAAGAATTGTTATATGAAATTATTAGTAGGCAAATCATTTAAAACATGTCAAGAAGTAGGAAGACCATTTCTGTTATTTCAATCTTTACAGCTATATGCCACAATAGCACAGTTGAACAAGTGATAGTGTTAATGATGACTATCTGGTTGTCCAAATCGGTGTAGGCGGAGTGTGATACAAACTTGAGAATTAGTGGTTAAAAATTGAATGCCCGAATCACTGGGTTACAACTCTACTACTTTACTTATGCAAAGTTGTTGAAAAATGTACAGTAAAGGAATCAAAAGCTTTTGATAATCAACTTTGTATGTATTCAGAGATACTTTATCAGTTAGCACAAACAATAAGAGTTCAAATTACAATCTGCTGAGAAACGAGAATGAAGATAGGAAAAAGACTAACCTCTTCAATTGTCTCTATACCTCCTTCTTCGTCATTTGACATTGATGATGTACATGGATAATCAACCGACTGTGTTGAACGTTCTAAATCACCAACCTGTGTATCGGCTTGATTATCATTATCTCCTACCGTTACTGATGAATCATGTACATTGAATTTAACGGAAGAGTCGATGAGTGCTCTACGAGTGCTTAAGTCAACTTGTTGTCCTTGGTCTAAAATAATCCAAAATACAAATAATTTTTTTATTGGGAATAATGTTGAATTCTGTATTTTTGGGATATATGTTAGTATGTCTCAGTGATGCAAATCTAGTAATAATTTGAAAAATTACAATACTTTTTGAAAGTAGACTCGTTATTGAATGTTTAAAGAATTACTTTCTTTATTGGTCGTAGAAGCAAACGGACAGTTGCTGTAAGTGGAACAAATTTTCTTCCCCCTCACGATGCTCACCTTTATTAACATACTTACTTACGCCTGTTACTCTCAATGGAGCATAGGCCGCCGACCAGCATTCTCCAACCCACTCTGTCCTGGGTCTTTTCTAGTTCTATTCAGAAAAACGCTAACCTTTATTAACATATGCCTTTTTAATAGTCACCCTTTTTTATGTGTGCTCTTTTTAATGGATATCGCTGAAAACGTTTAACATCAACCTAACTATATGCCGGTGACTGGTGGTTGTTAATTGGATAGTAAAATATGATCATGGATGGCAATTTCAATTAATAGCCGATGAACGACTAGTATGGGGTAAAAGATGTCACTTATTAGTTATTGGGATGCTCATAAACTAGCCTATGAGTCGAAGCTGAAAAAACTTAGTGACCGGTTAAAATTCCGAAAGTGAGGTAGGTGTTCCAGTCCCATAGCAAATCACAAGCTGAAAATCCAGTGGATACGGCAATGAGGTATAGCTTCATTAATGAGCAATTTACTTATTTGTATGTAAATCAGTTTTTGGGTGAAAAATTTACCACCAAGAACGTAATGATTAGTTTTTAGTGGTTTATTGAGCTTAGGAAAAAAGATTATACCAAACTCCCTCTCTAAATGCTCTCACATGGCCACGCATATACAGCCTCTGCCAGGGAAGTTCTACTCACTGCCTTCTCGTGACACAGGTGTTGTTTACGAAAATGAGAGGACGAAGAGCGAATGTCCGGCGCTTTAACCGGATCCCAAACCAATTGTGCACATGGGCTCCAGTATCCTGAGGGAACACAAATGGCATATAAACCAATTGTTGGTCACCGGCTACAATGGGACTGCATCTCCTTACGATGCTCCACTGCCTTGTGGATCAAGTCTTCAGGTCGAAGAAAACCACCTGCTTCAGTTTGGGCACCCGGGTAGTATCACAGCCCCCACACATATCAAATGAGATTTGTGTAGCGCATATGTATTTGGTGCCTCCTTGTATCAATATCTATGTGTTAAAATAAATAAATAATTTACAAGAAGGTCAAGTAAGCAATATGCAACGACTACATCACACGTTTTAATTAGTGACAATGTTGCGGCGTCACAGAAATATTAAGCGACACAGGTATAGTATACAGCAACGCATTAGGAAGTCTAGGCTATTAACTTATGGTTTTGATTATCAGGCTGTCCTAATCCCACACTTGTACTATTTCTAATTATTGTCGATTGATTTTATTCTTAAATGTAAACGTATTCCATGTGTTTACTGAGTCGTCGGCTTACTGTTTTACTCCTGTTCTTTTCTCTTTCAGATTCTCTGGCACACTGCTCTTTACACATCTGCAGTACACAAAATACAGTCAGGTAGGACGTAAATCTACTAAAGGTTGAACGGAACAATACACCACCATGTGGAGTGCACAACCAGGCTCGATCATTATGTAATATTAGTCTACAACCACAAGGCGTAAATGATACCATGGACAATAAACTAATAGACAGTATTTTACCTTCAACATGTGGAGTTTCTGGAGTAGCATCGAAAACAAGTGGAATTGGAACTGGACATGGTAACGGATAGGGGATGGCGTACGGCACTGGTCTTGCGTATAAACATACTGGGAAGGGTACATAGATTGGGACCGGAATAGGTATGGGTAGTACAAGTGGCATTTTTTTCAATTCATCTTCGTCGGTTAAATCTAAAAGTATAAGTGAAATAGGGTAAATCAAAATTTTCAAAAAAGAGATTAAACATAATGCAACTGTAGTGTACATCAATAACCTAGTTTATGGAATAGTAAAAAACTAGTTTTATGATTTATTAATAGCTAAATTTTCCAAGATTTATTTGCTTGTTTTTCTCCTGGTAACAAGTACTGAGTAGACAAAATATCTCGCTGAAAGTACGTATAGGAAAGTAGTGGCATTAAAATGCTTCAAAATAAAGCGAATAATGTCATGTTAGCCACTGTTTTAAATGACGTATAAACGGAACTATAGTGAATAACGGCACGAATATAGTGAACGTTGGGAATATTTTTCGCATTATTATCATCTATAAACTTTATTACTAAATTAGTAGATAACTCTACTGTTGTGTCTACACACATTGTAAGATTTTAGTGAGACTATTAACTATCTTCCAGAGTTTTAGTGTGAAGCAGTGACCAGGAGTCCAACCGTTTCGGACAGTGGATTAAAGTTAAGCATTAACATCGACCGACGAACCCAGTCGATTGTTTCGTAATTTCATTGAGAATACGGTTCGAAAAGATAGTGGAAAGGTATGCATGAAGGAATATTGGAATTCAATACTTAGAACAAGAGCGGATCTGAGTCAATGTGAATGATATTGAATGATATCACCAGAAGTCTTCAACCACTGATCGGGGTTATCGTGTGGACCCCAACTAGGTTAAGTCTAGATCTACCAACACGGATCAGATCAACAGTCAGTGACGTTACAGACTGATACCACATTTTGTTTTAGCCACTCCTAGATTGGAAAAAAGCATTACCTGTGAAAAAATCCCATTTCAAAGGTATTTTTTGTATCTTATTGACTTTACATTGCAATAAGCACTTACCTGTTTGGGTGCCAGATTCGACAAAAGCAATGTCATCAGCAGTTGATGTCTCAGCACAACTAAAACTTGGTTGGTCAGATTTCATTAATATTTGATCATCTTCAATTTCACCTACAGGTACCATATCATCATCATCATCGTCGTCATCATCATCATCATCATCATCACTCTCAACTGGTTTTGTGTCAACCGTCTGGGTTTGCATTTCGATCCCGAGAGATGTTTTATCATTTTTGTTACTTGATTCTGTTGTAGTTGGAGAATTATCCGTTTGCACAGCAACACCATGTTGGGATAAATTTTCGTATGTTGTTGCATTCGCTTGAGTTTTACGACACATAGACAATGGTCGACATAACACAGCTTTGTTACGCATGGCAACTGGGGCTGCTGGTTGTAAAATAACTTGTTGTTCAATGCCCAATTGTCGAACCATGTCAATTGGAACAACAGGAAACTGACCCTATATAAAAGTGAAGAGGAAGATTATTATATGAAGGTTATAGTCAATTGAAATCTTAAAAAAATATAGTACGGAAATCCATGTAAATATTTATGGCATAACTCACCCTCAAAGGCCTTCGACCTCGAGGGCGTCCTCGACCACTAGTACCAGCTATTGCGGCGGCCAAACGATAACCAGAGTCTCGATCCACACCCATACTGCCTATTGCACCAACACCGCCCGAAACAATATTACTGGATGGTGTTCCCGAAGGTATTATTGTAGCTGCCCCTGCACCAGTTATACCTTGATTAACACCAGATATCGAGCCTCCCCCTGTCGTACCAAATACAGTAGCCGAAGACGGAGTATAACGAGTACCCAAGGATAGTAATCCTGAAGCTGCAGGTGTCAGTACAGTAGGTTGTAGTCCAGCTGATTGAGCTGCAGGAGCACCTGCATTTAAAGGTTTACGGCTATGAAAGGTATAAAGTGCAAAAAATTATTGAGAAAATTTAATCAATTTATCAAATATTAAAGGGGGGATAATAACCATATGAAAAACAAGTGATAAACTTAATGAATAATTAATACCGAAAGTCGATATCACTCGAACAACACATGGAAGTAAGAGTTTACCAACGGTATGTATCCAGAATACATGTGATGTAGAACTAGCAGTACTTAACACTTTTTGGTGATTTAAATTTTACGAAATCATGGTCGAGCATGGAACTAATACAAGTACGTACCAGTATTTAATTATAAGTGTGATGAATCGAAGGTAAATGATGAATACATTACATACAGAGAAAGAAGGAAATACAAATACATAATCTTGAAATATGAACTTATATATGTATATATTTGAGGCGGACGATATTGGGTTCGAGTGAACATCAACTCACGGATCCAACCACATCCAGTTGATGAGTTCCGAATATGACGGAATGCGAGTCCTGAGTTCCGCTGATAGCTACCATCTATTTCTGCTTAAGGCGAACTTTTATTGTTATAATTGTAAAACATTCTGGTGGAATAAAGCCACCAAGGAACGGGTCATACAAAGTAAAATTACAGCAATCTAACGAAATATGGAATGAAAAGATCACAGAATCAATCAAAATAGATTTATTTCAGTTACACAGCATCGTACCTATATGTGGAATACAATAAGAAACTAAACGGATAACCACTAGTTTCTATTTTGAGCCATGGATTTATAACATCTCAAGTAGCTAAGAGTTGCACGGTTTGCAGAGTTTACCCAACGACTAACAGTTTTATGTTGTTATGATTTATTCCATAGCGCCGTTTTGTAATTCCATCCACTATCAACTTTGACAAATAATATAAGCTACTGGAACGGTATTCGTGGACTGAGCCATGTTGGTAGGTATAGGCTACCTGGTAGGGGTCCGCGATATGATAGCAACCGATGGTTAGAGACCTTGAATGACATGGCTCAAAATTGTTTGCAATGGCGCAGGTGCATCCACTCTTTGTGTTCTCTCAAACTGTAATCTTCTGAATTCTTCATGTCCTTTATTTTCTTTCCAAATCTATTCCACTGGACTGTACTCCTTAAATAACATCATCAAACCCTAGTGTTCCTTATCACTACTTATACTTTCACTACCTCTACCACTACGGGATTTGAATCGATAACTGAATCTCTGTGATAATGTATTTTTTATTTATTTATTTATTTTAACACATAAGTATTGGTACAAGGAGGCACCAAATACATATGCGCCACACGAATCTCAGTTGATTTATGTGAGGGCTGTGATACTGCCCGGGTGCCCAAACCGAAGCAGGCTGTGATAATGTGGTATGGCAACTCGAACTGATGTACGTAGGTACGAAGTTCCACGTTGTTACTGACTGACTGACTGATGGTATTCGTTAAACACGTCTAGTCCATCGAAAATATTGGCAAATGAATTATCCTTTACTGAAATCTGAATACATAACACTTGAAGTTTTCTTGCGCTTATTAAATTTAACTGGATTTTTCAATGGTGAAAGTGTCATTCGAAAGACTTGAAAGATGCTGAACTATTTGCGTGAAACACATGTTAGATTTTAATCATATGAAAGTTCTAATATTGTTGAAATCAGTTTATTAAAATCAACCATAAAAAACAGAGCCCTGGTATGTGTTAGCCTAAATTTTTATACAACACGGCGAGATGAACTTAGCAGGATGAATTACAGAAGAGTTGAAATAATAGTGATCAGCACAACACAGTTCAAACATAGATTAAATTAACAAAAAGTACGAAATAATGTTGAATATTACAACTAACAGGAAGATAAAGTGAACGGACCTGAGTCTGTATGAAGAACTTCACCCCAAGTTCTAAAAGTTGCTGCCGGTCCCGATCTTAGGTAAAGGAGGCTGGAACATGGGGTTAGCAGACCCGTTCCGTAAAACGGAAACTTGCTGAAAAAAAGGTTTGTGATCAGTACTAGGACGTATAACCCAACGTCTCCAAAACACTGATCACAGTTGTCGCGCTGATCTCAACCAGGTAGTCTGAATCTACCAATGAGGCAAAAACAATTAATGATTTATTACTATTTTGATTTAGTTACTAGTACCTGGAAAAGCGAAACACTCGTTTCTGTAAAAAAATCTCGTCATGTCTTTCAATCATTAGGAAATTGGAAACTCAACAACAAAAGGGATGTAACTCATATAGTTCTTAATCCTCAAATAACGTAATCTAAATTATACTTGAACATGAAACATCGATATTACCATAAATTTTATGAAACACAAGGAATGAACTAGTGGGATGAGAGAACTAATGAACTAACATAGATATCAGTTTACTTTAAAATATAAATTTTATAAACTATCATCCACTGACTTTGAATCTCAACCGTTTATTACGGAATACTCTAACGTTAAGAAACTAAGAGTTTGCGGGAATTTGAGCTCGGGACAGTAAATGAATTGGATGAATATATAAGCTATATTACTGTTGTAAATATTATTGGAAAAATAACTAACCTGGTGATACTACGTGACCCACGATTTGCATTGAGTGAAACCCAACGAGCATCATTACTACTCAAAGTGAAGCCTCCTCTACCAACATTCGACTAAAAGATAAAATAGATTAGAGAAATAGTTTATGAATAGCAGGTATGGATTTACACAAGCAAGCTAACAAAAAGGTGACATTAAGTGAGTCAGTTAACGAGTAAGTCAAAATGTTGTAGGCAACTTAAAGTTGTACGAATGACTGCGGTGTGATGAGAAATGAGATCGGTTTGTTTAGTTGGACTGTTATTTCACTTAAATAAGTAGCAATTAAGGGATTCTTGTTTCATCCTAAAAAAGAAATCACAAGAAATGTAAGTCTTGATTCTATACGACGTCACGTTGTAGGGTAATGCTTCTTATGGAGAGGATGAAACTCCATGAAAAAAAACGCTCGCTTAACTACTCAACTTTGTACGTATGGTAAAATGTTAATTCATATGAAAAAAGCTAGTGAGAAATCACCAATGGTCCACAAATCTTAACAAACGCGGTGAGTGAGCGATTTTAGTGCACACTCTTCAATAATATGCCTTCCGCTAATAGTTTCACTTTAGGCTTTCCGCAGACTTGACATCACTGCTATAGACCATAATGAGGGGAAAAACATAGAACAATAGCATTTAGATTGTTAGATTGTATGGTGAACATTTGTTATGAAATATTCATGTATGTGCATCATTTAAAGTAGATACTAACAGAGGGTTTAAGGACAACCGAACAATGAACACCACTTATTTTGGTATTTCGAAGTGAAAGCTTCTTGTATATGTGAACGACATACACTTCATAGGGTTATGGCGAAGAGATGTAAATAATCATTGATTTTTCGTGACGTGCATCATCATTCCTGTTTATTTATTCAACACAACTCATAAGCACACTAGTGTGGTTGACTATTGTACATTTGGAATCTATAATTTCAGAATTCATATTCAGTTAGATGGTCAAAGTTTCCCTCCTGAGACCTACTTAGACGAGGTTTTTCAATCAGATCCTGTCAAAACAGGATAATTCCTCAATCTGAGGAATCTGAGAGAAAATCTGGTTCATGATGGTTGTGACATTCTAAACCTGTGTATCATCATATATTTAAGGGTGGTCACGCACAATATTCTCATTAAGTAAACTTTGTCTTTTTAACCTCATTCATGGAACAGGAAATCTGTGGAGTAAGAGGTGCAGTACTTGTAGAACCGACCCCTACCAACCCATTGTATTTTCGGAAACATCGGTCGGCCAGTCATTATCAACGTGGAGCCTGGGATATTGTGTATTGACCTAAATTGAAGGAATGTAGCATAGCTAAAGTTACCAGTGACCCGTAGTTCTCCTACTTTTGTTGAATCTCCGTAACAGTAAGAGTTTGTCCTGCAGCCTCATATTTAATGATTTTAGTCATGCAGCTATCCAAATAACCATCTTGGAATAAAAGGATTGAAAGAAGAGAGTGCTTCGGACAACACAGTTTAGTTTGTAACGATTCTCAAGCCCAACCCCCGCACCAAAATGGAGATCGCAGTCAGACTCCCCTACTAACACATGCTGTTATTTTCAGATTGACGAAGCCAACCTCAGTGTTTAATATTTCAAAACCGTAGAATATTACAATTGAAAGAAAAAAGTTAAAGGATACATAATGTCTATTAGGTTTGTAAGCAGAAATATGGCGAAAATTGAGATCTTAAATAAACTAACCTTGTAACCAGTATGCTGGCTTAAGTGTTGGGCTAATTCGGGTTTCAGTAGACTCTTTCCACCCTGAACACTGCCTAACTGGATTTGACCACCACTTGCATCTTGGATGACGTATGCTCCAGCTTGATCTATTGGTAATTCAACGAGTTGTCCCAAACTGGGATCTATGGCAGGTATACTGGTGCTGAAAAAGTAATTAATATGCAGCTTTGTAACATGTACTCAGCAAACATACCACCAAAATTATCTGTAACGGGGTATATTAAAAGCTTGAGTCTTAAATACACAACATGCTTTAATGTAAACTAGAAAGCATTCCGTGATATTTAAACATATCACAGAAAATAATAACTTACAATCGAGAAACTCAGTATACACTTTCTAATACTACGCCCTATATGCGATTTTTGTTAAGGTCCTGGAAATATTCCTTATTTACGAGTTCTTGCGTCAGCCCTCAGCTGCTTGTCTTTTCAATGGATTCTTAGCATCTATCACCTAGCTACGTTTGAAGGAGATATTTAGTTTTAAATTATTTGGATCCAACAAGGTGTGTACATGTGGTCACATTAAAACATAGTTACATTTCGAACATTTGCTCCAGATAGTAGCGAGATAAATTACTTAAAGCAAGATGTCGCTGTGAAGGTATTTAACAACACGGCTTTGGAAGATCTAGAATACCAAATGAACTGTAGACTATATGACTACCGGTAGAACAATATAAACAACTAGTGGGGAAATGTGGAAATAATAAGAAACTAAAACTATGAAAAGGAATCCTTGCGTTTAGTCGATCAGGTGAAGATAATTTGTAGTTTTCCGTAAGGTAAACAAGATAACTGAGTAAAGATAATAGTGTGAATAAGCAGCACTCGACATTACTTGTCAAGTTAAACTGAAAGGACTTTTTAGGCTAATTATATATCAACACATACTTATTACTGTCCATCTTAAGCGAAACTGTAGAATCTAGATTATATTCAATGGTTTGTATATGAACAGGTTTGCCAGTTTGTCTGACCTAACAGTGAAGGATGAACGTTTAATCACCATGGTTATCGAATGTTACGGAACCAAGACACAGTTCTAGTGCTTACTTAGGCGTTTTTTTTCCCGACCGTAGCTGCTACCTTGACGTGGTGGTCGGGCTTGCCTATCGTGATGACCCAACCGAGCTATATTGGCTGGAACTCAAGTTCCTGCAGGTTCTACCATGCCAGGCAGGTCGATTGGAGAACGGTAAGACTAAAAGCAGCAACTCAAGGTCTGACGGCGAAGTCGTACTGCTGACTGTACAGAGGTGTGACAGCAGTAAGGTGTTTCCCTCGGACAACCAGCATCTGCAGCGATGCTGCCTTCTCACAAGGAAGGAAGGGGTTAGAAAAGGTTGACCCTAAAAATGTCACACCTCACCTTACCCCACGGATTTCCGTCTCCGGCGGTAAGGCCCTTTGAAGAACGGAGCTAACACATTAAAAACCTCCCACAAAAAGGCCGTGCGCGACCGGCCTCAAGCAGTTGTCCCTTGGGCTCTGCGGTCACGCACTCAGGTCGCTAAGACCAACACTAATCCGATTTCCTTTTCAGGTCCCCCAAGAAATACCCTTCCACGGTGTGGGCAACCGGGAAGTGATTTCAGCCCTCATACCCGTAACAGCACACGAGACCAAGTTGGTCACATTCAAATCCTTCCTACACCTCCTAATAACTCTCTTATCTCCACGACCAACTCTTCTCACGTCCCTTTATCACCTCGCCCCGCTAGTGCGAACGATTCGAGTACGCGGAATGTTATTCCTGGTCTCCTGAAACCACGCTCCAAACTACACGTAGGAGCTTTCAACGTCCGAACACTGTGCCAAATAGGACAACAGGCTTCCTTAGCTAAGACTTTAGAATCTCGCTCCATCGATGTGTGCTGCGTCTCCGAAACGCGCACACAGGATCCTAGTAGTGTCATTCATTTGACTGCACCATGTCAAAGTAACGAACCAACTCGATTTACGCTTCGTGTATCTGGAAGCCCTGATGCTGCATCCCGTGTCCTCGCTGGCGTAGGTATAGCATTGAGTCTTAGGGCAGAACTAGCTCTCTTAGACTGGATCCCAGTAGACAGTCGTTTGTGTGCTGTCCGACTAAACGGAAGAGTAAAGACTCGAAAAGATAGGGACACTCGTCGTTGCCTCTTCGTCGTCTCTGCCTACTCTCCCACTGACTGCAGCTCAGATGATGTAAAAGATGAGTTTTACAGAAAGCTTTCCGATCTTCTCCGAAAAGCTAGGCGTTCAGATGTAGTAATAGTGGCTGGTGACTTTAATGCTCAAGTAGGTAAACTAAGCGAAAAGGAAAGACACCTGGGTGGATCTTATGGTTTCGCGGCTCAAAGAACAGATAACGGCGACCGTCTGTTGCAGCTATGCTCAGATAACCGCCTGTTTCTTGCAAACACTAACTTTAAGCATAAGGAAAAACATCTTTTAACATGGCGACCCCCTAATTCGTCTCAACGCTGGACCCAAATAGATCACATCGCTATCAGCCACCGATGGAGGGGCTCGATAGAAGACTGTCGCTTATTCTGGAGCACACGCTTAGACTCAGATCATGCTCTAGTGCGAGCGCGTATTTGTCTACGTCTTACTGGACGTAGGAAACATGCTGCAAGGAAACCCCTTAGGGTCCTACTTAATGATAGTCAAGCTAAGAGTATATTTCAGGAACATTTAGAAAAACAGTTAGGCAGCCATGTAAGTGATACCCACCCCGAGGCAGCATGGAATGACATCCGAAAAGCTGTAGAAACAGCAGTGATGTCTGCAAGTACGGTAAACCATAAGGTTAGGGAGAAACACTGGATCTCAGCAGCATCTACCGCACTGATAGATGCTCGAAAACTCATTCCATCTGGCTCTGAACATAACGAAGAGCGGAGTCAGCTTAAGCGTAAGCTGACTAGAAGCCTACGCAAAAATCGTGAACAGTGGTGGGTAGCGAAAGCAAGAGAGATGGAAAAGGCAGCGGCAATAGGTAAAAGCAGGCAACTGTTCAGACTTGTTAAGGAAACCGGTATTAGGAACCCAACTGTTAGCGAAACAATCGCAGAGAAAGATGGACATATTATTCATTCTCAATCCAGGAGATTGGATCAATGGGCAGAATACTTTAGGGATCAGTTCAACTGGCTTTCAGCCACACTTCGGTTTCCCACGATCCCCAGTCGACCTGAATGGCAAGTTGATGTAAGTCCACCGACTCTTTACGAAGTTGAAAAAGCTATAGGAAATCTGAAGCGTGGGAGAGCAGCAGGCCCTGACAGGTTTACCCCTGAGATTTTTAAGGATGGCGGTCCAGTATTAGCAGCGAGATTGACTGAGGTCTTAGGTAGAATCTGGGAACTGGACGTAATCCCATCTGACTGGTCTCAATCATTGATTGTACCAGTCTATGAGAAAGGACAAAAGTCCTCCTGTGACAATCACAGAGGAATTAGTTTGACTTATATAGTGTCTAAAATATTAGCTTTAATAATACTTCGACGTCTAACCAAAGCTCGTGAAGAGCAGACTAGAGAAAACCAGGCTGGTTTTCGACCTGGACGTGGTTGTATTGTTGACCTAGAATATGCCGATGACATAGTTCTATTTAGTGAAGACGCTGACAGAATGCAGAGTCTGCTGACCACTCTAAGCAACAATGCAAGCCTGTTCGGCATGCGATTCTCTCCCTCGAAATGCAAAATGTTACTTCAGGATTGGGTTGCGTCGACACCCGAACTAGTGATAGGGAGTGAAGTAGTTGAGCGTGTCGACCGCTTCACTTATCTCGGAAGTCTCATCAGCCCTTGTGGTTTGGTGTGTGACGAAATCTCAGTACGGATGTAGAAGGCCTGATTAGCTTTTGCCAACTTGCGTCATTTGTGGCGTAGGCGAGATATCCGTCTATCAACGAAAGGACGTGTTTGCTGCGCAGCAGTTCGTTCCGTTCTACTTTATGGCAGTGAAACATGGCCGGTAAGAGTAGAGGATATTCGTAGGTTACTAGTATTTGACCATAGATGTCTTCGAAACATCACTCGTATATCCTGGGACCACCGAGTAAGTAACTCAGTTGTAAGCAACCGGGTACTAGGTGAGTATAGCAAACCAAGTAGTGAAACTTCATCAGTTAAGATGGCTGGGACATGTGTTGCGCATGCCCGACCACCGGCTGCCCCGACGTGCTATGTTTTATGGTGTAGGAGTAGGTTGGAAGAAAGCTAGGGGCGGCCAGACCAAAACATGGCACAAATCCATGAAGTCACTGACAAGTGGACTGAGTCATGTTGGTAGGTGTAGACTACCTGGTTGGGGACCGCGATATGATAGCAACCGATGGTTAGAGACCTTGAGTGACATGGCTCAAAATCGTTTGCAATGGCGCAGGTGCATCCACTCTTTGTGTTCTCTCAAACTCTAATCTTCTGAATTCTTCATGTCCTTTATTTTCTTTCCCAATTTATTCCACTGGACTATACTCCTTTAATAACATCATCAAACCTTAATGTCCCCTATCTCTACTTATACTTTCAGTACCTCTACCACTACGGGATTTGAATCGATAACTGAATCTCTGTGCTGTGGTATGGCAACTCGAACTGATGTACGTACGTACGAAGTTCCACGTTGTTACTGACTGACTGACTGACTTAGGCGTTTTATTGAAATGGAAACTATTTCATCAATGGAATAACCTGTTTTACGTGAGATGATAATCGTCAGAGGGATGTGTTTGTTGACATGCAAGCCCCATCCCGTAAAAAGCAACCTTCCCGAAAAAACACTAACCAGAATAAACGGAAATTACAACAGAATGGTCACTGGCTTCTGAGCGGTGTTCTATAGAATCTCGTGACATTGAGTTGCACTCTAGCCCCTCAACCACGGGGTTGGGATGGATTGATAGATATCAATCCTATACAGCTTACTTTTATACCACGGTGCTATCATAAACTGACAACTCCACTTTTTAGGATGTCCCAGAGTCGGTGATTAGTGCAGGAAGTGAAAGTCGCTGGGACGACTTTGGCGAGACAACTCCAAGTTACCAAGACCAGTATTTTAAAATGGTGACACCAACTAAATTATCGTCAGTGTACCGAAACACATTGTTTAGCCACAGAATTACTAAAATAATGATGTCACCGTATGTCAGCAATCGCTAGAAGATAATATTGGTCGAACAGTGTAGTAAACCACACTCAACTCAAAAAGACCAGGATTTATAAATGATACTCGATGGCTAAGAAGAAACTCCTATTGTCACAGGAATCAGTGTTTTGACAAAAGCTAAGAGTGGTGAGACCAGGTAGCGTAATTATGTATCTAAAGACATGAAACTAAGACAACTTCAAGATATTTCTAATGAGGTCATGATATTCGCACCATAAAGTCTTGTGATCAGTGTTCAAAACATTCATTCTGAATCATTTTCTGATAGTTAGGGACTAAATGACTGAATTTTAGGTAACAAGTTATAAAATTTATGCTTTTCGTTAAAAATTTTAGTAGCAATATGGTTTCGCTCATGTAATCTGGTGAACAAAAATACGTGGTCTAACCAAACAAACAGTGTATGATGCCTGGTCATATTTCAAGTTTGTGAGTTGGAAGGATTAAATGAGTGAGAAATATGGTCACATTTAAGATGACTAGTTAACGTGATAAATTAAGTCAAGAAACTACAATTCGATTCATTTAGCAAAATCTTATAGTGTGGAGTTAGTTACAAACAACGTGCAACCTAGTACGAACGTACATCGACTCAAATTGTTACACTTAAAATTAGCACAGACGACAAGTTACTAGGATTAAATTTGAAAGGGTTGAGCTAATGGTTTTAATGAAAAAACTGATGAAAGAAATTAAAACCGGAAACAATGGATTGGTCAAAATGTGAGTGCTATAATAAATATTACGACCTACACTCATTTCCTTTGCTTGAAATAAACTACAACAATATTCAAGGTTACTGGGTTTCTGACACAGGACCGGTTATTAGGTCAGCCAACCCGATCAACATGACACTTACGTCGTCATTATTATGAGACACGGGTTAAATGACAAACGGTAACACTTACATCTAATATAAAACTCAATGTTTATGAAACCTTGAAAAGATATGTCAAATAAACTCATTATTTTACCCGAATCCAGATATCTGTGATGGATATACGCCAACAGAGATTAAAATAAGGCTTGAAGCTTTAAAAGTAGCTTAACTGTGGAAATCTTACAATTTATTTTTAAATGTCTAGAGCTTTTAAATGATAAACAGGTTGACAAAGCTGGTGGGCTTTCTATAACTACTTGTTCAGGCATATAACTGCCAATAATTCCACTGATGAGCCTAGTTTGATCGTATGATAACATTTAATACATAACTTATTAAGTTTATATGTATTGATAATATGATTATGTTGTCGAGTGAACAGTGCGATTTCTGATAACTTTCCACGCAAAATCTGTGTGACTATTTAAATAATACCAAAATAACGACACATAAACACCAAAAACACAATATCAAGCAAAATACTTACGCATATGCTGTCATGACTAATGACCCTCACCTGCCCTTAATATCGAATAAGTGACACAAAAGGAGCACAACACAACAAGGACGACCCAGTACAAATCACAAATATGTGGAGATTCGTGAGCCAAATGTACGATTTGATCAAGTAAACAAGGAAATATGAAGCTTCATGGAGACTATTAATGGCAAGACCTATTTCTTCTTAAGACAATGGACACTGTTTGTGTTTGAATGCATCAAACATCTAGACCGGATCCTTTTCAATGCTATGAGTATATGAATTGGCGTAGTTAAACAAATTTGCCAGATAACCAAAAGCTTCTCATGGATAGATTTGCGAGTGAAGTACTGTATAAATCATAATCTACAAGCAAACTGTTTCGGTTGTGTTGCTCTATATCATCTTTCTAGGCCGAATATGTTCTGATTTCCATCTCATGTCTAGGTTGAGGAATTCTCGTCAGACGTAAGACTAAACTGCCAGTGATTAAGAAACGATATAAATTGGAATGGTGTAGTGTGTTTAATGAAACAATAAAAACAGAAGATTGAGGTTGTTCAGCTGGCTGTTAATGAAATAAAAGTAGCATATCACACGAAACATGAAATAATCAAAGAGAAATGGTGATTTGAGGATATTTTTTGGTTACTGAAGAACAAAGAGTCTGATATAAATCAAAGAACGCATTTCCTGAGAAGAAACCAATCACAGAAATCTCTTCTGTAAACTCTGAGTGTCCCATAGCATTTTAGCCAGGTATTTGAAAACTAAAACGGAAATGACCGTTCTGGTGGTAATTAAATGCTCAGCGTAAATAGTTATGTAGGTCTTCGACATTGATGCTGACCCCATATGTTACACTGGACACACTCCAACCAAATGCGCTAAGTCACACATTCGCACCTGTTCATGAGTGGGTACGTCGTGCTATCCACTTCTTGCAACCACTAGCCAACAAACGTTCCTCAACACATCGATAACCTTCTAAATATATCTTCGCTTATTCATTCCTGACTTCTGATTTGACCGGGTTAGTATCGTTCTACTGTAGAAGTGTAACGGACAAAAACGTCGTCATATTGAATATCTGTGACATATTCAATGGTGAGCTAAACCTGAGCTGGTACACCAAACGGTAAACTGTGATATTACATATCACTTTTTGATCTTCATTTTTGCACTATCGGAATTTTCATCCATTTACATATTTCATCCTCATTGTGACAAATCGAACACCCAAACCGTTGATGATTAGGAATCTTACACACACATCTTTCAACTCATACCATTTTGACTCGATAATATCGAGGTATAACTCTGCTACACAGAAGCTGACGTCCATTAGCATGGCGTAGTAGGCACACGTGTGCAATTCCTCGAAGAAGTTGAGGCACTGGCGCGCGATCTTAACAGTTACGTCACACCTAGTGTGTTTCCTACTGGAGATTCATAACTTTAATAGACTAATAAAAGGGTCGGCAGTAGATAGACCTGAATGGTTGATAAACGTTGCACCAACACTTTCACAAGTTCGAATTGTAACGCAGCTTAGCAACAGAATTGTTGCTACGTATGAGGGATGCCATTGGTAAAATGACCATTGATAAGTGCCACTCTAGACAGCTCTTATTATGTAAGCCTCCCAAAACAAGTGCACGTGATTCTCGTATCATTCTAGACAACGCCACAGACGAATTAACTGCGTCTGCCGTACAGATTCCGATGATCATCAGAACACCCAGAGACGAGGTTTATTCTGTCGAAGAAAAGCCTCAGACCACATGAAACGAAAATGCATCGCTTCTTATGATTCATGTCCACGTATATTCTGATTGACGTTTTTTAGCAAGGCTGTTTCCTAAGGAATGATGTTGCCGGACACACTCCCAAAACTCCTTTACCTAGACTTGAAACCGGCTGTAGCCATGGAAGAGCGAAAAACGGATTGGAAAAGCAAGAGCAGCATTTCTACAGTTGAAGAATATATAGGACTCAAAACAAGTGTCAACCAATATCAAAGTCAGAATCTTCAATACGAACGTCAAGTCAGTTTACTGTACAGAGAGGAAACTTTAAGAACTACTACAACCATTATCAAAAATGTACAGGTATTTACAAACAATTGTCTACGCAAGATAATCAATGTCCGTTGACCGGGTGCCATCAGCAACAGTCTACTGTCGGAGAGAACAAACCAACTTCAAACTGAAGAGGGGATTAGGGGTAGATGTTGAAAGTGGGTAGGATACACATTGAAGAAATAACCGAACTACATGACGAGGTGGGCACTAACTTGAACTCCTGAAGGGAAAAGTAAAAGAGGAAAAACAAGGGACACATTGCGTTGGAAATTGGGGGCAAACATCAAAGGAATAAATAGCAATTGGAAACAACTGGGAAGGGTCGCCCAAGACAGAGCTGGTTGGAGAATGCTGGTGAGCGGCCTATTCTCCTTCATTAGAATTAAGAAGCGTATGTCCTCGTATACTACATAAAGATCGTAAATATCCACATAAACTATCTTCTATTGGTCATTTGTTCGAATCTACAACTTTTAAACGATCTTTACTAAATGCTATGATGATCTTAACAACCTAATATTTTACTCGCGTGAAAAGTTGTAAATTTTCATGATGAATTAAAAAGTAAGGGTTGGAAGCTAGAGTTTGGAATTATAATCATGGTTTTTAACTACAAACCAACATCAACTATAAGGCCAAAATATTTTGGAGGCTAGGGATAAACCAACGTAGTCAAGTCGTCTGAGTTAATCGTTGTCACTGAATGTGATCGTTTTCGTTTATTTAGTCTCTTAGTTGTGGAAATTTGTAAACAGTTTCTATCATAGAGGTAACTGAAGTGAGCACACCGCACTTGACACCTCCATAGCATAATGCAGTGGCATTGCCGTCGTAAAACATTTCATATTTTAAACGGGTAGGTCGGTGAAATTGACAGAGAAAGAAACACGTCCTTCATCATGGACTATGATAGGGCAAAACAATTATTCACGACTCATTTATGGTTGATTGGCAAGTACAAGATCAAGATTAGGAGTGTGGATTTTATCTTCATGTCTGCAATTAAACTCAATTTCGTTTCGAAGCTTTGTCAGTAGAATTAACGACCAGTCAGAATGAAGCATCAATTTCATTTCCACCATCTCTGTGAACAACGGCGGCTCGTTTGTTTAGTTTTGTGTTTTTCCGATGTTCTTTGGGTGTAGCTACGCGACATAATGTTTAGGTGTAATGAAATTACGCAAGTTACGTAACACTCACAGGGTTCGTGCTAATTTCTTCGATTTCGTTATTCTTCCTAGGCTTATGGTGCTGCTTTTCAAGTCAGTGTATCACACACTGAACTTTTTCCATTTGTAACACTTTGGCAAACTAACTGAAATGCTTGAGCAGTTTGATTTACCAAAATTCTCTGCTTCACTAAATGCTTCAAGCATTAAACTGAATTATACGATAACCAAGAATATCAAACTAAGCAAGTGTCATAATTTTTGTTTCATTTGCACATAAATGTTACTCAAGTTAATTTAATGTGGATAATTAAGCCTATAAACCAAATACACGATCTATAGTCCAATAAAACTTACCTAAGGTAGGATAAACGATATTGATTTGAGCCTGAAGACAACAGTCATTTACGCACACACAATTTAGAGCACAATAAACCTTTCTCCAGTATCCTTATTTATTGACGGTCTACTTAAAAATACAACCATTTGACTAAGCTCACTATGACTTAGTATAACATTACAGCATGCAACGAATGTCCGGGGTAACACAGCCAGATGTGGCAAAAAACAATCACAGCCAGATCAAAGTTTTCAGCACAAGCTAGCTCTGTCAATCGAAATAACATATTGTGACAGACAAAGAGACTATGTAGTGGCATTGGGCCATCACCACACAATCCTCAAAGCCGAACACAAGACAACGCTGAGAAATGCCTAACGAAAACAATGAATTGAACTGATTCGAGTTGGTCCGATGGCACGGCTCGGCCTTGCAGGCGTGGTCCCTGCCGAGTGTTACCTTATATCTTCTATTCACACTAAATATATTGCTTTATCTCTAGCATAAGCTTGTTCTCCATCATGTTGGTAATCGTTACGGTGCAATGGGTTGGTGTAGACGATGACGTAACTTCTACGTAAGATCCTATAGATTGGGCAGTTATATCATGACAAATCTACAAATTTAGGAATACGTCTATTATTAGAGCAGTACTAATATCATAGTAGGCCATAATCCTACAACTACATGAAGGTAAATATGACTACTTTTCCTGTTTGCAATACATTAAGTTGAAGTGAGGGCGTTTTGTATAATTCCATCCATCTTCTACAGCATTGAAGGATGGATCTCGCGCCAAATACCAAGACCCGATATCTTGAATCTGATTGGTTCGTCCATATATTGTGGCTATGTCGACTGAAAAAGATGCAGTTTGAAAATCCTCATATCATATTCAAAAAACGAAGAGTATTTGGGCGAAAAATTGTTTTCAATAACTTCATCATCAGACTCCATAATCGAAATGTGCCAACTTAGTCAAATCAAAAGTCAGAAGCGAGAAGGTTCGAGGCCATTTGATAGGCTATCGATGTATTGAGAAGTGATGAATCTAGGCTGGCTAACGGTCGTACGAGATGTAAAGAACGACGTACTTACTCATGATCTGGTGCGGATGAGTGACCATGCGCCTTCAGCTGGGTGAGTCCATTAAAACTAACGTGGTCAGAATCAAATGCCGAGGGTTTACAGAGCTATTGTTTTTCGGGATTCATTTACCGATACATTAATGATGCCACAGGTATTCGGAACTTGGCAAAGCTTTAACCAGTAACACCTAATATGAATCGTACCCACCAAGTGAAATCAAAAGACAAAAGCGAGAAGGTTCAAAGATATATTTGATAGACTACCAATATATCGAGGGTCGTCTGATCTAATCTGGCTAGCGATTGCAGTAGATGTTGAGCACGGCGTTCCAACACGTGATCTGGTGCGGATTCATGACCGAGAGCCTTCAGCTAGATGAGTCCGTTAAAACTAATGTGGTCAGCATTTGATGTCGGAGACTTACAGAGCTTTTTATTTAGGGAATTTACTTACCGCTACAGTCTCTATTTGTTTCATATACCTACGTTACTAACTTGAGGCAACATGATCCATTAAGACTGGACACGGAAACTCATCGAAAGAGGGCATATTTTATTCCGTCCATAACCATCTGAATCATTTTAGTTTACATAAATGTGTATGGCGGACCAAATATATCAATTCCAAAACAATGGTAAGGTTATTACAAAACAGTAGGGAGTAGATAATATACCGAAATATAAGTCAGACATAAATGAAAATATGAGACGTTACTTAAACTGTCAGAAAGAGGCGGGCGGAAGTTCTTTTCCGGCCTCGTAATCCACAGTTGTAAACAGTCAGTTATTCAAAATATGATTGATGTAATTCAAAGTATGTCTCCAGAGTAGTCACATGATGAGAACATCAATAAGTTCTGTAAACGTAAGCGGCAAATATATTCGATTTATATTTTATTTGCACATACATGTTACTCAAATTAATTTAATGTAGATAATTATGCTCAGGATATCATTACAGCATTCAATGAATGTCCGGGGTAACACAGACAGATGTCGCAAGTAACAATCGCAGCCAGAACAAAGTTCTCAGCATAATCTAGCTTTATCAATAAAAAAACATACTGCAACAGATAAAGTGACTACATTAAGGTAAATATGACTATTATTCCTGCTTGCAATACATTGAGTTGAAGTGAGGACGTTTTGTATAATTCCATACATCTTCTACAGCATTGTTTCTCGTTTAGTTAATTAACTGTTTTGATCATAAATTACGCATCAAAACTACTGTTTGCACTTTAATTGAATCTACTCCAGTTAAAGTGATATTGTATTAAGTGTTTCGATTTTGATTTTGTGTATTTATTGCATCAAAGCATACTTGGTCGAATTTTACTTGATTTATTTAGTTAGGGTTTAAGAATTCTTTTACATATCCTGTTTGTATCACCATAGTAGTTGATTTTCAAGATGGCCAGCTCTGCTCATAAATGTGGACAACCATGTTGCTTATTCCCCGTGGAGGAAGGGATGCAATGTGACGAGTGTGATAGGTGGTTCCACAAGATGTGCACCCGATTAAGCCCCGCTGCATATAAAAGGTGCTCAAAGCCCAACTCTCATTGGCTTTGTAGTTTTTGTTGCTCGGGCAAAACATCACTCATCCAGGAATCTAGAGGAGTCGGTAGACAATGACCCTGCTAAGAGATATGCACGTGATCTGCAGTTAGTGGAATCCGTGGTAAGAAACGTACTACCTGAAAGGGTTTCAGGGGTACATATCACGAAAGTGATATGACTCGGTAAATGGATTGGAGGCGAGACCCAATCAAGAAGGATCTTGAAGCTGGTTCTCGGGAATTTTGAAGAAAGAGATATATTATTGAAAAACGTACAAAAAAAATTCGTGATTCAAATATTCGTATCCGACCGGATTGGCCACTTGAGGATCGAATCAAGTGGAAGAATGCTCTTACGGAGTTGAGAACTCGCAGGTTAAATGGCGAAACTAACCTTACCATTAAGGGCTTTCGGGTAGTCAGGTCTTGGAAGCCAATGCTTCCGAGGCCTGTATGGGTAGAACGAATGATTACCAAAACATCTTAAGTGTGTGCTACACGAACGCCCGTAGTCTTAGGAATAAAACGTCCGAGCTAAGTCTGATGGTGGATGACTTAAGTCCCGATATAACTGTTGTTATTGAAACTTGGTTCACCGTAGACATGGAATGTTCTACCATCATTTCAGGCTACATCTGTATTAGAAGTGATAGAGTTTTAAGTCTCAAGGAGGGAGGCATAATGTTATACATTAGGGATCACTTTTGTATACAATCAATCATATCGGAGGCTCATGTTAGTGGTACATGTGAGGTAGCATGTTGTAAGATTAAATCTAGAAATGAGTTAGTGACTATAGGGAGAATATACGTTGTACTTCGCTTTAGGTTTAGGACACATGGTATACGATTTGTATCTGCTCCAATGTGTCCCAATATCTGGCGGGCTAATATTCAGGCAATCAGAAACTGTGCTATCTCGACTGATTGGTCGGTTGACGCAGATGGTTCGATCGCAAACTAATGGAATAAGTTTAAGGCTACATTTGAGCCCGTAACGTCGCCGTTTATCCCATGGTCAGCACATAAGCTATCTCATTGCCCTCTATGGATTAATAAGGAAACCCCGAAGCTGTTCGACCATAGGAAACACTTCTGGAACTTATTCTTGTTGATAGGTCATGCATCATTTAAGCGTGAGTATCAAAAACTCCGGAATATTTGTGAGGAAACCATAGCTAAATCCCGTACTACATACGAACGACAGTTGGTATATGATAGCCGTACTTGTCCGAAACTATTGTTTTCGTATGTTAAACGGCAAATGAAACGTAGTGATGGTATTCCCCCGTTATCGTTACATGATAATTCAGATCTACTAGCTGAATCAGATCGGGCCGAGAATGAGACTTTTCAAACTATTTTAGCGAAGTCTACTCTAAGTTTATTGTAGCAAATACTTGTCCCAATAACACTGAGATACCAGCCATTGAATCTGTACAGGTGACTGAGGAAACTGTCCTTCCGTTGATAACTAACCTCAAATCTTATAAGATACCGGGTCATGACGAGTTACACCCACGGCTGCTGTCATCTCTTGAGGACACTATTTCGAAACCACTCGCGACATTCTTCAACATGTCCCTTTCACTCGCTCAACTCCCTAGGGATGGGAAAGATGCTATAGTCAGTCCTATATTTAAGGATGGTCAGAGACAGATCGTATCTAACTACCGGCCTGTCAGTCTAACTAGCATTGTCGTTAGGTTACTTGAAAAGATAATTCGGGTTAGGTTGGTAAGCCACATAGATTCACACAATCTGTTAGCTCCTGAGCAACATGGATTTCATGACAAGCGTTCATGCTTGACCAACTTACTTATTGTGAGAGAGGATCGGACAGCAGTCTTAGATAAAGGTCTGTCTGTCGATGTGATATTCATAGATTTTAGCAAAGCATTTGATAAGATTTCACACTTAGGTCTTTTGCAGAAGCTCACGAGCTTCGGAATAATCGTTAATGTACAGGAGTGGATAGGAAACTTCTTATGTGACCGCAGACAGAGAGTGTCAATGGGACGCTGTCCGATTGGAAGCCGGTCAAAAGAGATGTACCTCAAGACACCATCTTAGGCCCTCTGCTCTTCCTTCTCTACGTAAATGAGTCGCCACTGTCGCTTAGATCGTTGACATTATTATTTGCGGATGACGTAAAAATATGGAGAACAATAAAAAATGAGGCTGATCATCTGGATCTTCAAGCTAACTAAGACGATTTAGTTAGATGGTTCGAGGTTGGGGCTTAGAAATCTATTCTAGGAAGAGTGTGCTAATGCATATCGGTCACGGCAATAGTTACCATTATACTATTGATGGTAAACCTCTTCCATACGTTCAAGAACATAAAGACTTAGGAGTAATACTAAGTCATGACTTAAAAACAATTACGCATTGCAACGCAGCCGCTGTCAAAGTTTTTCGTGAGTTAAGGGTCACTTCGCCGAGCGTTCAAATCTTTTGATGAGGGAATGTTTCGAATTTTATATCCCACCTATGTAAGACCACATTTAGAGTACTGTATCCAAGCAGCTAGCCCATGTCTGGTAAAGGATACTAACTCACTTGAGCGTGTCCAGAGTGTGGGAACGAAGTTAGTGAAGGGTCTTTCTAAACTCTCTTACGATGAGCGTTTAAAATGCCTAAACATTTCCCCTTGTATCGTAGGACTCGAGGTGACCTTACACTGGCATTTCGTATCTTTAATTGTGAATTGGGTGTTAATATGTCTTATCTTTTTGCTCCCTCCAGCACTAATAATCTCCGAGGTCATAGCAAGAAGGTGCATAAATCGCGATCTAATAAACTTAAAATGGGGTCTCGTTTTTCTCATCGAGTAGTCAATGATTGGAACGCCTTGCCCGAACAAGTAGTATCAGCCCCATCAGTGAATGTTTTCAAGGAGAAACTGGACCTTCACTGGAAGGCAATCTGTCAGGATTAACACAGGTTCACCAACCTACTATCCTTATTGCTGAAGACTGATGATATTGAAGGATAGATCTCGCGCTAAATACCAAGACTCGATGTCTTGAATCTGATTGGTTCGTCTATGTATTGTGGTCATGTCAACCGTAAACATTATTCTATTCATAAATACACTTGAAACTCTCAATAACAGATTATTCACATGTGCGTGAACCTGTGCCTTTTTTCATGATAGAAATAACGGTAAGCATGTAAAGATTTAGAGGTCCTCGGAAATATCACATCCCAATTAATTGGGATGTGATAAAACCTCAAGACTCTAAGAAAACTGTCTTAACATCTAATGCTAAGGTATATAACTTAACCCCTTAAGATATTTCAAGGCGACCGGAAGTAGGTGTTAGTTGAGACATAATATTGAGCCCATTGGTGATTTACATCAGTTGTGATTGCACAGGCGAACAATGCCTTTAAGTTGAATTAGTTTATGCTTGATTATAATCAAGCAATGCAACTATAGTCTCCTTTTTGTATCCAGGCATATATATGGTCTGACTAGGTCATCTGTATAACTATTGAATTAGCTTTTGTATATTGTATACAGAAAACTTGTTAGTCACTTATTAACTGACGCTTCTAAATTGCTTTTTATCGCCACACATAAGTTCACTGTACGCGTCTACATACCTAGTCTTTGATGAATATTCTCGAGTTGGCCGAGTGGTGTTCAACAACTAAATTAATGAATGCACAACCCTTTCCACCCTGTTTTCTGTAAGGTATTTGCAGGATACACACTGATAGGCTTATGAGTGTGTATTGTGTTTCTACATATTATTGGTTGCTGGGCGAGTGAAATCCAAAACTCTGGATTATGTTGAAGAATCAAATTCTAAAGGCGCTATGTTAATTAAGCCTATTACCCTTCGTGGAGGAGCATAGGCCGCTCACCAGCATTCTCCAACCAGCTCTGTCTTGGGCAACCCTTCCCAGTTGTTTCCAATTGCTATTTATTCCTTTGATGTTTGCCCCCAATTTCCAACGCAATGTGTCCCTTGTTTTTCCTCTTTTACTTTTCCCTTCAGGAGTTCAAGTTAGTGCCCACCTCGTCATGTAGTTCGGTTATTTCTTCAATGTGTATCCTACCCACTTTCAACATCTACCCCTAATCCCCTCTTCAGTTTGAAGTTGGTTTGTTCTCTCCGACAGTAGACTGTTGCTGATGGCACCCGGTCAACGGACATTGATTATCTTGCGTAGACAATTGTTTGTAAATACCTGTACATTTTTGATAATGGTTGTAGTAGTTCTTAAAGTTTCCTCTCTGTACAGTAAACTGACTTGACGTTCGTATTGAAGATTCTGACTTTGATATTGGTTGACACTTGTTTTGAGTCCTATATATTCTTCAAGTGTAGGAATCCTGGAGTTCCTTTGCCAATTTTTGCCTTTATATTTTCATCAAAACCTTGTTTATCGATGGTGCTGCCCAGGCACGTGAAAGTCTCCACGTCTTCCAGAGCTTCTTTATCAATTTCGGTCGGGTTGATGTTCTGCGTGCTGTGCTTGAGGATCTTGCTCCTCTTTTTGTGTATGTTGAGACCTGCTGCTGCACTGACTACATTTATCTGCATATGTTGGTGTATGGGATGGAAGAGCTAGGTTATCTAAGAAGTCCAAATCGTCTAGTTGACCATCAGAAGAAAGAGAAAGAGCGAGAGTGATTAGCCTTGTCTAACATGGGTCTTCACTTGGAGTTGATATTTCATCTGGCCTCTAGACACGACTATGCATTGTAGTCTCTCGTAAGAATTTCGTATAATGTTGATCTCAGGTAGGAATGTTCCATAAGGTTCCCTTATTCACACTTTCAGACGCAATTTCGTCGGTTGATGATCGATTCTTACGGAATCCAGCCTGTTCATCTCGAAGTTGGGCGTCTAATAAATCTTCCATTCGGTTCAACAATACTGTCGAAAACTTTTTTTGGTACTGATAGTAGTGTAATGCCTCCATGGTTTTCACGCTCGCTGAGATATCCTTTTTTGTATCTTGATGAGGTATTCTTTCCAGCCTGTCGGCACTTGTTCTTCCCTTCAAACCCCTCTGAATAGTGCATAAAGCATCTTCGCAGTTACATATCTGTCTGACTTTAGTGCTTCATTTGGTACGTTGTCTGGTCCTGCAGCTGCTTCCTCACTTTTGGTTTATCTAATGTCCATACTGATTTCTTCTATTGTTGATGGAGTAAAAGCTATGGGAAGATCTGTAGGCGTTTCTATGTCTGGTGGGTTCAATGGGATTGGTCTATTCAAGAGTTCTTCAAAATGTTCTACACACCTGTTCCGCTGTTCTTGAATCTCAGCCATCAGCTTGCTCTCTTTGTTCTTGACTGGTGGTTTTGTTTTACTATGTCTCCCTGCTAGTTTCTTCGTTGTATCACATAGTTGTCTCATATTCCCTTCTCTTGTAGCTTTTTCCGCCGTGGTTGCTAGCTTTTCCACGTATTTCTGCCTGTCATTTCTACTCCCCTTTACTTGCTTATTTACTTCTGTGTATTCGACCTGCACGTCGGCTTTCCCTACCGCTGTTCGGTTGTTGTTAATTGCTGTTTTCCTGCCCTTTCTTGAATCCTGTTCAGAGTTTCGATAGAAACCCATTCCTTATGATGATGGTTCTCGTGTCCCGGCACGTCCTGGCACTTTGAAGTTAATGCTTCTTTGATTCCGTTCCAGTTGTTCCCCGTAGTATTTTCTTCTTTAAGCAGATCTTGTAAGGCTTGGAACCTGTTGTTGAGAGCTATCTTCAATTCATTAACCTTCTTGATTTTTAGTGATGCAAATCTGACGCATTTGGTTTTCTGTAGTATGATCCGGTGAGACCAATGTTGCTTTGTGGGGAAATCCAGTGCCATTTATAACCATTTCGTTGAAGGTATATGAATTTGCAAATCTCTCATTATTCTCGTTCCTTTCTGCTTCGATTTGGGCGACCAGGCAGTATTCCAGCCCTCACGCAAATCGAATTTGTGTAGCACATATGTATTTGGTGCCTCCTTGTACCAATAGTTATGTGTTTAAATAAAATAAATATTATTTAATGTTTAGGTCTCCCATCAAGATGGTCAGTCCTCTCTTGGGCACTTCTCTACGATCTATTGTAGCCTCCTACAAAACTAATCTTTATCATCATTGTTGCTATCATTGGTGGGTGAATAGCACTGAATAACATTCATTGTGACCCCTTCCTTTGTTTTGAAGGATGCATTGATGATTATGGATCCATGGGATTCCCATTATATAAGTGCTTTTCGTGCTTATTTGGACAGTATCAGTGGAAATCGTTTTGCGTTCGAAGCATTTCTTAATAACCAGAGTACAACAACACCTCTACCAAATCTAATCTTCTCTGTCCAGCTTGGTTCCGATTGGTTTTTCTTATAACGAAAACCGCCAAGTTGTATCTCCTTATTTCTTCAGCTATTTGACTGGTCCTTTCAGACTCCTATATCGCCCGGACATAACATGTACCTATAATAATTGTTGCTCGAGTTGTTAGATGAGGCATCGACCAGGTGATTTCTGAAGAATCTCAGCTTTGATCATGAGGCATTATAATTCTTGTGAATGAGGATCCTTCAACTCTCTGGGGCAGAGTTTGAATGATCTAAATTGTTTTTTTTTCTGGTTACTGTTTTTTAGCAAATATTTTTCTGCAGGATGTGGTTTCTGACCCCATGCCCAACATTCCTCCTAAATCCTGGCTTGGGACCGTCAGTAAACCTGGGAGGGCTACAGGTGGAGCTCGCTGTATGCTTATCCTGAATAAATTCAGGCTTTATTATTATTATTATTTATTTGAACATATAGATATTGGTGCAAGGAGGCACCAAATACAGATGCGCTACACAGATCGTTGGTATGTGCGAGGTCTGTGATACTGCCCGGGTGCCCAAACCGAAGCAGGTGGTTTCCTTAGGGGGCCACACCCCGAGCCTTCGATCTGAAGATCTGACCCACAAGGCAGTGGAGCATCGTAAGGAGATGCAGTCCCATTGTAGCCGGTGACCAACGATTGGTTCATACGCCATTTGATCCTTCAGGATACTGGAGCCCATGTGCACCATTGGTTTGGAATGAGGGTTTTCCAACTGCCCTAGGTGGATTCTCCGTATCCACCAAAGGACTCTCCATGTACAATTGTACTTTCTGTTGAAATGAGTGGTATTCGACTCAGTAAGTACTTCTTATTGAAAAAGAAAACTCCACGTTTCATTTTATTTTGTTAATTCGTGATCACATCCAATCAGCTGAATAAAATTGGTGAAATAGCACCTGTTGACTCTGGTTGTTTTCCGCATAAGACGCTAAGTCTCAACGGCTCACTTGGTTATACTCTGACTATAACAACCTAATGGTTATATATATCATATCAAACCGTACTGAAATGAGGTTAAGTAAACTTTGTCTTTTACTAGCTCTTCGTCAAGATACTGATCACTGGAATTATCTTTATTTACCAAAATTTATGGTTTTCAACCTATCAGAAAGCGTTTCTCGTTACCAATAAAAAAATTTATCTTTATAAAATGCTGTTACTTTTAACCCGTACAGGTTACCTTATCTCTGCTCATTTGTTTTTATGTTAATTTCATTCTTTAGTTATGAAACAGTGGCATTCAAAGCACTCAAACCATTTAAATTTTGACCACTCCTCTGGGACTGGTCGTTTACATGTAATATTATAGTTTTAAACAATCGAGGATCATGTATAACATAAGTATCTATGTACCCATGTAGCTGATTGTCCTATGTATCCTGAAACATTTAACGGTCTCTATGAAATAAGAGCTGCAGCTTAGTGTTTTAAGCATTTTACCTTCAGTTATTACGTCCCAGCTTCGATTACTTCGGTTTCTGTAACTGAGTAGCATCATTAACCTTAAAACTTGGAGTATGGCTCATACCAAAGAACCAAATGAATGAGTCAATTTATTGTTTAGTTTTATTCAACAGGATACAGTAAATATATCCTCGTCATGATGATCAGTGTACATAATGATCTACTTGATGATAGTATTCGACAAATGTAGAATCATTCATATAATACATCCGAATGCTTTGATTTCCTCGTTTGTCGCCACTGGAAAATATTTCTAATCTTGACAAATACTAAACTTCAGTAATTTTTTCAGCCAACTTTAAATATAAATCTATTAGATTGAAACTTTTGTTAACTAGTTTCTTGTTACGCTCATAGTGTTTACAAATTATTCTCCTTTAAAGTCCTATTACTTGATAATCTGATGCTCATTAACTTGATAAAATCGTGACTGTGATATCACAAGTCACCTTTTAATTTATGCTAAAGTGAAGCACTTCTAACATCCATCGACGTCTTGGACGATGGGCAGAATTCTTTGAAGGGCAGTTCAACTGGCCTGCTGCTCCGGCAACATCGGTCAGACTGTCCTGCCCTCCATGGCCGGTGACGACTGATCCACCAAATGAGGCGGAAGTCCGCAAGGAATTCCAACTCTTGAAACGTTACAAATCACCGGGCCCAGACGACTTACCTCCGGCTCTTTTTAAAGATGGTGGTGACTTTCTGATTAAGGGACTGACGACGTTGTTTACAAATATCTGGGAACTAGAGTGTGTACCAACGTCATGGAATGAGTCGATAGTTGTCCCTATCTTTAAAAAGGGTTCACGTTGTTCCTGTAACAACTATCGGGGGATAAGTCTACTTCCGATTGCGTCCAAGCTATTGGCTTCCGTCATACTTCGTAGGTTGTTCAGAACCCGAGAAGGATTGACTCGCGAGGAGCAGGCTGGGTTTCGTTCTGGTCGAGGATGTATTGATCATATCTTCACCCTCCGCCAAGTGTTAGAACACCGTCATACTTATCAAAGGCCAACAATCGTAGTGTTTCTTGATATCAGGGCTGCCTTCGATTCGTTGGATAGGTCTGTTCTCTGGGATTGTCTATTGAAGAAGGGTGTGCCTGAGAAGTTTATTAACATCCTTAAAGCCCTATACACAAACACCTCAGGCAGAGTGAGGGCATACAACCACCTTTCTCCACTATTCCATTCAAGCAGTGGAGTTAGGCAGGGTTGCCCAATCTCACCATTCCTCTTCAACTTTGCCATCGATGACATTCTGGAAACAGCTCTGATGGATGTAAGTAATGGGGGTGTGGATCTGTTGCCTGGAAAAAGACTTCTCGACCTTGAGTATTGGATGATATTGTCTTACTGTGCGAGAATGTTCAAGCCATGCAATCCGCACTTAATCAGTTGGCAATCAATGTCCGTAGGTATGGTATGTGCTTCGCACCTTCAAAGTGCAAAGTACTCCTACAAGACAGGCAGGATTCTAATCCTGTACTCACTCTGGATGGTGAGCGGATAGAAGTGGTCGAGAAGTTCGTGTATCTAGGTAGCTGCATAAGTGCTGGTGGTGGCGTGAGTGATGAGATCAATGCACGTATAGTGAAAGCCAGAGCGGCTTATGCCAATCTGGGCCACCTTTGGCGCCTTCGTGATGTTAGTCTGGCTGTAAAAGGTCGGATCTACAACGCGACGGTGAGAGCAGTTTTGCTCTATGCTTGTGAAACCTGGCCTCTCCGAGTTGAGGATGTTAGACGACTCTCTGTGTTTGATCATCGTTGTCTCCGAAGGATTGCTGGCATCCAGTGGCAACACTATGTCAGTAATGCAGAGGTCCGGCATCGTGTGTTCGATCACAGAGACGATAATGAAATTGGTGTCACTATCTTGAAACACCGACTTCGGTGGCTTGGACATGTTTTACGAATGTCGTCCCAGAGAATTCCACGTCGTGCATTATTTGCCGACTCTGGGACTGGTTGGAAAAAGCGGAGAGGTGGTCAGTATATGACATGGTGTCGTGGTATGAAAGAAAGCTGCAAAGGGCTAGCTTCTGTTGGTCCTTCACGACTCCCTGGTTGGGGTCCGAGAGACGGTGTAACGCAGTGGCTAGAGACGTTATCAGATATAGCTCAGAATAGAAGCCAATGGCGATCCTGCTGTAACCTTCTTTTACTTTCTTCATAAAAAGTGGTTGTATCTCCCTTAACTGAAAGATTTCTTATGATTGTACCTTTCCGTTTTCCCCATCATTGTTCTCTCTCTCTTTTTTTATATTTATTTATAATTCCCCACGTTCATTACTTTTTTTTCTCTTTTCTCCTTCTCTTCAAATTATCATTGTTTTGTGTGGCGCATATATATTTGGTGCCCCCCTGTACCAATATTTATGTGTTCAAATAAATAAATAAATAAATAAAAGTGAAGCACTTAGTTTGATTTTCCAACTAACTTGGAGTTTAGTCTCTTACAATCATATATTTGACCTCATTGAATGATGGGATTGTCAAGAATGAGAACTATGGTATGATCTAATTTAATCAATTAACTTTTGATAGTTGTAAAATTGTATTCTATTTGTATTTTTAGTAATTCATTATCCCACTCATTAAACATTAGTTTATGCATTTCATTTTTAATTTTTAGACTTATGTCGCGTCAGTTAACTTTTGTAACTGGTAATCCAAACAAATTGACTGAATTCCTTAAAATTATTGGTGAGGAATTTACTGGAAAAGTACTTTGGGTTATTTCATAGTACGATAATATCATTATTTTTTTTGTAATAGGTAAAAACAGTTGATCTAGATTTACCTGAAGTTCAAGGTAGTATCGAAGAAGTGAGTATACAAAAATGTTTATCTGCTTTTAAAATAATCAACGGACCTGTATTAATCGAAGATACAGCACTTTGTTTTAAAGCACTGAATGGAATGCCTGGACCTTTTATTAAATGGTTTTTAAAAGCGGTTGGTCCTGATGGTAATTGTTTTGTTTCATTTTCGTTGATAAACTTAATTTTCTTTCGTAATTGGTTGTAAACTGTATATACTGTATTTTTTTATGGTGGTACTTTGTTGTTGATTTTCATGGGTGCTAAGATACTCTGGTTATTAGACCAAGGAAACTGATCAAATATTTGACTGATTTGCCAAGTACAGATTTATGTACTGATCTCTGAGCCACACTATATATGCTAATTGGAACGAAGTCCAAACATGCTATCGACTGCTTATTTTTATTTATAGAATTTATGAATTTCGGTACAGTAGAACATCAAAAAATGAGATTGTTGTGTTATGAGGAAATAAAAGAGTGAAGGGTCGTACAATTAGAGATACAGCCAAAACGGATTTTTTCTCATCTTATAGGGTTAAATTTACCTTTATTAAAATTGTAATAGAAAACCATATCAGGATGGTCTTTGGCTTTTGTTCTGAGTCATTGGCCGCCACTTTTAGGTCCTCAGACAGGGAGTCGTGATGGACCAGCAGATGCCAGTTTTATGTAGCTATTTTTCATACCATCTAAGACATACTAGTTGAAAGCCAACTGATTTAGACAGTAAGCCACTATTATGTAGGCTTTGAGTACAAATTTGGAAATAATCATCTGTTAAGCAGTATATCAATGTTGCATCCCATCGTCATTTTATCCTCTCAAAGTGATAATTATTTTCAATTTATAAGTTATTTTAAAGTTGTTTACCGTCTGCATTAATAGTGTTGGGATTTAACGGTAAATCGTTAAGAGGTCCTGAAGTTTGTTTATACTTGATTACGTTTACACATATAATAATGTGTATGGATACAAATTCTAAACAGTTCATTGTTTCTACGATATTTAAACCTACATTGTTAGACAAACTATCCAGTAATGTCAATTTAAATTAGTGCAACTCATTTGCCAAACACAGGTTTATATGTTAGCCATTGAGTTATACTTTGTCTGTGTGGGCTAGTGTTACTATCCAGCTGCCCATATTAAAGTAGGTGAAGTTGGCTTCAAGCTTACGACTCAGTGGTTTGAGTTTGGTTGGTCAACCTCTAAACCACAGATAAGCTATTCATGGCACAAATATAATATTGAATAAAGCCGTTAATAATAATAATAATAATAATAATAATAATAATAATAATAATAGTCACCATATTATTCGTCTCCACACGGATCATTTATATCGCCGGTACTGGTCAAAGTATATCATTAAAAGTATTAAGGATATTTGTGATATTTAATATGACTGCGTGTTTGTTCATGTAATATTGCTCACATAGTGTTTACTGTTAATCCATATATTCAAACAAGCTAATATAGGAAATCTTTTATGTGTGTATGCAACTATAGTTAAGAAGCTTCGACCTCTGGGTCGCACGTCGGAATATCACTTCCTTCACTTCGGCTTGAACAGCCGAGTAATATCACTTGCCCTCAAAACCAAGTGACTGAATCCGTACTTGGTGGATTCGTTTTCAAATTTTCAATCAAATGGCTGGAGGCTTGGTCGTCTGATCGTCACTTCTTATAGTAAAACTCAATATTTGGAAGAGGTTAAGAAAATGAATGAATCTGTTGCACTGCAGCCTATTGTAAGCCATATATCACCTTAGGTCACTAGTAATAAATTACAATTATCGTGTGCACCGTAGTCAGAAAGTCTAGATTTTACTACATAGTTCAGATCAACACTCAATAACTCCATAGATTGATGACCGCTTCTTAAGTCAGGGACCTCTAACATTCACCCCTACCTGTTCGTTTATTATGTACCATTGCTTGTAGTAGATACGATTACTTCTTTTCACAGAAATATCATGACTTTAATTTCCAAATCATTATAAATATGTACTCAATTCACCTTGCCATTTCCACTAATTTTATGTTCATTTATTTTAAACATCATGTTTAGGACTACCTCGTATGTTGATTGACTTCAATGATTATCGTGCAGAGGCTGTATGCACTTTTGCTTATTGTGATAGCTTCGAAAAACCAGTACAATTATTTACTGGTATCACACCAGGTTATATTGTTTCACCTCGTGGACCACGTGATTTTGGATGGGATTGCATATTTCAACCGGATAACTTTGAACAAACTTATGCTGAAATGGATAAATCTATCAAAAATTCCATATCACATCGATCTAAAGCGTTAGAAAAAGTGAAGTCTTTTTTGCTGAATCATGGAGTTTAATGAAAGCAGTATTTTTTTTCTCAGTTTTGAACAAAAAATAAACGTTTATAAAAGGAATATTATTGATGTTTTGAATTAATTATTTTATACATTTAGATTGAACTACTTTTTTTATTTAAAGTAACATAGAAATATTACTGATTTTTCTTTAAACTCACTAAATAGGATAAAATGGAGAAACATCATTATTTCGTAATAAAGTTAGTTGATTAAGTTTTTGTAAAAAGGGTGTTTCCTACTCACTCGTTCAGAGTTTAGAGATCCTCTATGTTTTTACCATTTATACTCGTTATATGCTGTAGAAATTGCCTAATAATTACACAACTTGGATCACATGGGGGATAAATCACGTTTTTGTAAAGGAGGATAACTTGACTGTGTCTATGATTAGCAAATTAATATTCTAGTGGATAATTGGAGTTTCAAAATTCAAAGTGATTTCATGATTCTTAAGATAATTTTGCTTCTGGACTGGTCTGCATCTACGCCTAAACTATGAAAATAGAATATATAGGTTGGTTATTAGTATTTGTCTATATATCCCTTGTGAACGGTGCTTGTGTATGTTATGATTACTAATTGAGCATTTCTGAAGTTAGATACGTGGTTATAGGTAAAAATGCCGAATCAGTTGATGAGGTAATAAGTTTTCATTGATTGAGTTGGTGGGGATATGTATTACGTATACTCAATCACCGCGTTCGGTATGTGATATCTGTTACTATGAGAGTTGATTGGAAAAAAGCTAGTGTGATGTGTGCTACTGGTTTCGACAGATATAAGCAGTATGTATCGTCAAACGAACATGAAGTGTTTGTCGGCAGAAGGTTAAGATCTATGAAAAGACAACGAGAACAGAGAGTGATTGGTGTGGAAACGAAGGAACAGCCAAGTCTGAGACAATTGGTCGACATTTCGCAAATGAAGAATTTAATGTACGGTTCCCAAATTTTATCAAGAGATTCTATAATTTTGAGTTTAGATACATCTGATTATCCCCACTGGTGTTCTCGTTCATTACACTAGGAGTGGCCCAACGGGAACGTGGTATCAATCTATGAAGCAATTGATAGTTGCACAGTCGTTTTGTTAGGTTCAGGCTACTTTGTTGTAGTCCTCACAACTATCGTTACCGTTGGTTGACCACTTAATCATTCACAATGGCTAATATGCATTCACTCATTGTTTTTCATTAGATCTTAAGCTTTAAAAAACTCTCAGTCCATAAATTCATTCTTGGGTCATATTATCTATTGTGAGTACAGACTTGTGGTTGTTGTTGAGTTTCGTTGAAATCATGAACCGATTAATTTTAGGCTACCATTGAAAATCTGGGGGGATGTTATCTGTGTCTGTTGTTTTCTACTACTACTTGTACTGTGGCTACCTCCAATATTTTGACATTTGTCTTGATAGTGTTATCTTATTGTGCTAATGTAACATGGTAACTTAAACCGATTCAAGTATGTGCCAATGTCTACGTTGATTATAAATGACCGAGTTTTATGAGTTTTGATAGCATAATGTGTAGATGGGGCTGATCTAAAAATGTGATGCATATGTTCATTACATCTGGAACGACTGTTTTGAAACATATTAAATATTTGCTTGTCAAGACATTTTATATGTAAAGTAAGGAAAGTCAAATAAATATAATAATTTGGAATGTAGGAAAGAGAACAATTGTGCTTGTTTAATAATATCCTAAGTTAATAGATTAGTTGATCTAGTTTGTCTCATCAAGGCAGTTATAATACTTCAACAATGAGTTGTATTTAAAAAAAATCCATTTTAGAGTCCATTTTTATAGGGCCCTCAAGCTGTTGATATGTTTCTTATCCCCATCCTTTTTCTCTGTCGAAATCATGTCTTACAAACTGAAGGCTGTCCTAGAATAAAAAAAAACACGGAATATAAGCAAAGAAGGATAGTGGCTAGCAGTGGAATCCAGAACGCGCGTTTCGTCCTATTTGGGACTCGTCAGCTGGATTTACCTGCATCTCAGAGTTGATTTTCACTCTGGAACTCTAACCCAGTGCCATTCGCTCCAAACGCCATCGCATTACTCGCTTAGCTACTGAGTCCTGATACCCACATCAACTCTGAGATGCAGGTACATCCAGCTGACGAGTTTCAGATAGGATGAAACGCGCGTCCTGAATTCTACTGCTAACCGATATCCATCCTTGCTTATAATGCTTGTGAATTAAGGCAAGTATCGAGGTAATACGCACAGTATGCACATATGCCGATAAGAGACTGATCGATTACAGTCCTAAACGTCAATGGGAAGATTCAAATAAACAATACCAAATGAATTAAAACACGGAATGTTAGTCTACAATAGTTTTGCAGGTGTTCTGTGTGAAGACCTAATGTATGCATCTATGACCTAAACTAAAGCAGACTTACTTTTGAATTAACATTCTGCACATTTTGCACGATATGCTCAGTAGGACGAAAGTCAGTATTCTGGATGTGATTAGAGGCACATTTGTACCCTAACAGTTATCGTTTATTTTATGTAGATACGTTCTAACGGGGGATACGATAGTCGTGGGGTTGTGTTTTCTTATTGTACAGGGGTCCTAGTCTAAGAATATCTATTCGGTGTCACCATGGTTTCTAGTGGTTCATTAACAAGCTTATCACATTCATTTAAGTTGGGAGTGATATAGTTGTCAATAATAAACTGAAAAAGTTGAAAATTCTGGCTACACGATTGATGAGAATTGAAGAGAGCAAGGATATGAGAATGACCAAATCTCACTACATTATAGCATTAAAAATCCTGAAGTTGATGTTACGATAATGTAAATGTGATCGGAACAGCAGACACGACAAAATAATTTTTTACTGCCTTAAAGAAAGTAATGTAATGGGGTCGCAGCCATGTTACTTTAAGAATTCTTTATAGTAAACCATAACCAATCGGTTAAGTTTTGATACAAAAGTGAGTTAATCAAAACCGAGGAAACAACTTTAGGGTTTTTCAAGCTAATTTCAAATATGCATAACCTTTATGTTGTATCATACAAAACGAGAAGTAGAATTATGTTTGTTTAATTTCCCGGATGTTTAAAATAATAGCTCTATATTAGTTTTTGTCACATAACAAAAATGATAGTGTTAAATGATTTGAATGCTCAATTCTTTCTATGTGGATTGTATGTTGCGCATAAATCAATCCTATCCCGAAATTCTGACTTGAAACTCTTAGTCCTGATCCGAATTGTAACCTGGATGCCATAATCCTAAATACCTAACCCTAAACCTTGAATTGTAACTGTTACATCCGAACGAAGAATAAGCGAATGGTAACTGCCAGGAATTATTTATAGACTGTTATTATATGTATTCTTATTATACAACTATTAAGTAACTATATCATGTGTATATTCATATTCTTTTTGTTATAATCTTCCATTCGACCTGTTGACTACTATTATATGATTTACCATTCTTAAGTTATTCTCAATCTATTAGTTACAGTCTCTCACACTCACAGCCACTTTTGGCTTGATCTTGTATAATTGTTATTTTCTATTTTATGGGATGATGTGGTCTGATTTGACTATATAAACTGCGTATGTCTGAAAGACATGATTCATACAGTGGAAACTGAGATTGTGCTCTGGACTCAAATGGGCAGGGCTAGGCGAGAAGAACCAATAAGAATTCAGAGTTGATTGCTTGTGCTGGTTAATGCGTGATTGACCTGGCACAGTGCCAAGGTCATATAAGTCGGTGTTCTAATTGGCGATTTGGTCACATGATAATTTATAGGGCATAAGAACATGACAAATACTACCCAGTGAAATGATGTAGTAATCCAAATGATAGTTGAGGAAATATTCTTAAAATTCCAGTTGTATTGTCAAGATCATTTGTGTGACCAGCTGACATTACATTGTATTGTTTACCTGTAGGATTACAGATTTATATCACTTTTTCTGGAGTGAATCTTCACTTACTATTTGGAAGAATTAAGTTATGAACTGAACTGACGAATACCAAGTAAGACACAACATGAGTGCCAGATTTCACTGCTAAATACAATCCAAATGATTTAAAGCTCATGTTGTTACTCTGATAAAACTGGGTGAGTTTAAGCAAAGTGGAACTTTCGGAAATGTTCTACCGGACATTATTGTTTACATTTTTACTATACAGAGGACTAATAATGACTCAGAGTTGACTCGATGCTTCTCGTGCTGGTTAACGCATTACTGATTTAACACAGAGACAAGTTCATATAAGTCGTTGTTCTGATTGGTGATTTGTCATGTGATATTTAACGGATCATAGAACATAAGGGTGACCTTAAGTTGTTAACCAGTAACAACACGACATCTCCTAAACATCTGTTTGTGTATCTATAAGAGTTCAAGAAGACGGATAATCTATTTCCATTTGAAGAAATATATGTCATTTTTTCGACATAGAAACAGAAAAACATGTAGATTTCATTCAATAAATGTCCTAGTTATTTTGATTCTTTATAATATTATTGGTTTTTGTTTTCTTAAATTCTATATAATATCCATTTAGAAAAGCTGTTTTCTGATTATCTAACAACATCTGTTACAACTGTTTTAAGCTTATCCCTATATTGTACTCCAGATTATCAATTTCTAATAATAAAATAATGTTTAGTTAATTTGAGTACTCTTAAATAAACTTGTACATTATCCTGTTTATTTATTACTTATTTATTTACGCATGTTACCCTTCATGAAGGAGCATAGTCAGAGAATATCAATAACAATGAAAATATTATTACATTTACACTTGTTCCTTTGAAAAATTTATTATACTATTCAGTTTAATTTAAATGAGTGTTTTTCAAATATCGGAATTATTTTAAGATTATCACAGTTAAGAAGATTTTCAATGATCTAGATCATTGATCTGTTTCCGATTATGTAACATTGATTTACATACTTACGCCTGTAACTCCCAATGGAGCATAGGCCGCCGACTAGCATTCTCCAACTCACTCTGTCCTGAGCCTTCTTTTCCAGTTCTACCCAATTTTCGTTCATTTTTCTCATGTCTATCTCCATTTCCCGACGTAATGTGTTCTTTGGTCCTCCTCTTTTCCTTTGATCTTGAGGATTCCATGTGAGGGCTTGTCTTGTGACGCAGTTGTGTGCTTTCCTCAATGTGTGTCCTATCCACTTCCAGCGCTTCTTCCTGATTTCTTCCTCCACTGGGATCTGGTTTGTTCTCTCCCATAGTAGATTGTTTGTGATAATGTCTGGCCAACGGATCCGAAGTATTTTGCGTGGATAACTGTT